TCATCAGCCCGCCCCCAAACGCTTGGGTGAAAGAGGTTATCAAAACTCATTAGGAACATGAGTATGCTTGCCAAACGTACAGCTAAAAATCACAACCCTTGGTTAAAAGAATGCAGAGTGAAGAGAACATTGTTCACTGTACATCCTCTGTTAACCCTCAGTGTCGTCATCACCGCGCTGAGGTACACCACAACAGCAACCATCCAGAGGATGACCAGGTGCGAAGAAAAAAGAATGTACCTATTCGTGTGGTCACAAAAGTCCAAAACCCACGGGCTGCTCCCCGCTGACTTCCAGAGGGCGCAGCTCTTGTCGAGCGGGAAGCCTGATACGGTTGTGAGGTTAAGCAGGCATGTGCAGGACGTGACGATTCCTTGGGTGAGCCCAGAACCAGAGCGCCATGTGCCTCTGCAAACATGGAAGCCTCCTTGGATGGCGGGGAATGCCCATGATCTACCCCTGCCTTCCCTTGAGGGCTAACTGTTCCACAGGGGGCTGCCCCAAAGGGGTACTCCGGGGGCAATACCTGTGGAGAAGGAGACAAAGTGGACTCCACACAAATCAGGCAATGTCTTGACCCACACAAAACAATGGCCACAGTCAACCTAGAAATAGGCCTGACGTCTTCCTTCGAAGTCGGAGTACAGCTGCCCATGAGGCAGGGAACATTAAAACGGTTGTACACGCAAAAATCAGGTCCGGGTGAAAGCCAAAAGTCCAAGCGGACAATTAACCGTGACCTTCCGCCGGAATTCACAGCCGGTGAACGCCAAAAAAAAAAAAAAAAAAAAAAAAAAAAAAAAACAGGTGTAACCCATAAGTGCTCCCTTCTACATCTAACTCAAGCCTGAGTCTAAAGAATCTCAGCACAGGGCACAAACTCCGTTGCACTGGTGCGGATCCTGATATACTTTGGGTGGATTTTTAACTCCAAATTTTGCCCGGGCAGCGCCGCTACACTACTATTTTCGATTTCCAACTGCCAAAGGTTTTTTTTTACGTGCGTGAAATATACACGGGCATCCAGTTTTACTACTCAGAGACCAGAGGAAAGTACTAGAAGTCCACGTGCAAAAATCCCAGTCTTCACCGGGGGTCAAAACGATTTCGCTGCCTAATCTACTGAATTAGGTGCTTGATGCAAGACTGTGAGCTGTGTGCCCACAGCCATTTTGTGTTCAGCCTAGCTAAGTGCTTTATGCATAATTATTGTGTGTGTACGGCCAGCCTATCAAGCATGACTACTTCCTCAATGAAAAAATTGCAATTCTGATATTGACTGTTGGTGTTGGCACCTCTAGTAAATGCCTGATGTCTTCTTTTTAAAAAGTTTTTCCCTCCGGGAATGCAGCCTGTAGGATGAGATCAAGAAATCCCAGAAATTATGTTCAAATATGAAGCCATATAGCACTCTGAAATAGTCGCATGTTTCTGTGATTTTTTTTTTTCTGGACTTATTGTTTGCTCACTAGTTTTTAAACCAGGGAAATATCATGTGATTTTTTTTTTCTCTAGCACAACAGGTACATGGCAATTATGGGATCACCAGTTTGCAGTGAAGTTGAAACCCCTATTACAACTTTGTGGCACATTCAGGACACATTAATCTGGCTAACAAAGAAAAGACCAACCATGATCTATGATGAAAACTGTCAGGTTGCAAATGGTCTATGCTGTGAGACTGCAACTGCAGGAAAGTCACAGCACATCCCTGATGCTAGTGACTGACAATCAACACTCATGTCTTCCACTGCTGGTTGGAAAAGCTCATAAATATGTTCAGAATGAATGCGTGTGCGCGCGTGCGTGTGCGTGCGTGTGTGTGTTACTGATTACATGGGATTAAACCAGGTCATTATCCAGTCCTCAGTTTCCAAAAATCAACAAGTTCCAAAAACAGAGGGAACAACAAAATCAATAACAAAAGAACATAGAAATGGCTCATTAAGTAATTTAAAGTACAACTGCACATTGAATACATGTAATGGCACTTATAGTCCTGAAATTCCATGTAATAATTATGGAAGAATTTTCTCAACTCGAGCACGTCTTACTAGTCGCACTTGCCATTGCCACTGCCATAGGTTGCGATTCCCATACCTCCCTATAACATAATATAACACTTATCATTATCATTGTCCACTTCTGCCATTTAGCAATTGTGGAGAGGAGCAGTCTGGGGTCCATTGTTTGGTAGCAATTACTATTGTCATTTTCTGTTGATGTAGAAGCTCTTTAATGTCATCAGTCGATATTCTCCTAGGGTGAGCTCTTGCTTTCACATCAAATCTTTTCAGGGGTTAGCCCGTGTTGGTAGCTGTGGCTGCATTCTAAGAAGATGACTAAACCAAACCATTTTACCTTGACCATATAAAGCTATCATCTGAAAAGACAGTAAGGTACCAACACCTAACAAAAGTACAATCTGTATAACCTTACAAGACCTATCTGTTATACAGTGTTAGCTTCATATTTGTAAACTAATCCATTATCAATGGATGCTGTCTATATCGGGCTTGTCAAACTGAGTGTTTGCCGGGGGGGGGGCAGGCCCGGTAACGGCTTGGAGCACTTATGGGTTACTAACATTGTGCCTTGATGTAGATCCATTGTTTAAAACCTAAAAAACCTTTTTAGTTAAAGACAGTGGTTACATTATTCCTGTAGTTGTGTAATCCCACAAGCACACACAAAACTACACAACACTAGCCTAAGAAGTCAATAGACACAGCAAGAGCTTGTAACTGTAAATGTTGTGCCAGCAATGAACTAAGACAGCCAGTGTACACACAGTGAGAGCTTGTAACTGTGAATGTTGAGCCAGCAATGAACTAAGACAGCCTGTGTACACACAGTAAGAGGTTGCAACTGTGAATGTTGTGCCAGCAATGAACTAAGACTGCCAGTGTACACACAGTAGGAGGTTGCAACTGTGAATGTTGTGCCAGCAATGAACTAAGACAGCCTGTGTACACACAGCAAGAGCTTGCAAGTGTGAATGTTGTCTAGCAATAAAGTTAGACAGCCAGTGTACACAGAGTAAGAGCTTGTAACTGTGAATGTTGTGCCAGTAATGAACTTAGCAGCCTGTGTACACACAGTAAGAGGTTGCAACTGTGAATGTTGTGCCAGCAATGAACTAAGACAGCCTGTATACACACAGTAAGAGGTTGCAACTGTGAATGTTGTGCCAGCAATGAACTAAGACAGCCAGTGTACACACAGTGAGAGCTTGCAACTGTGTATGTTGTGCCAGCAATGAACTAAGACAGCCTGTGTACACACAGCAAGAGCTTGCAACTGTGAATGTTGAGCCAGCAATGAACTAAGACAGCCTGTGTACACACAGCAAGAGCTTGCAACTGTGAATGTTGTGCCAGCAATGAACTAAGACAGCCAGTGCACTCACAATAAGAGCTTATAACTATCAATGTGCTAACAATGAAGTAAGACAGTCAACACTGTGAGCGTGTAAGTATGGCTGCTGTCATAAACTCAGTGCCAACAAAAAACAGAAAACTGGAGAACACATACTCACACGCTATGTTGGTACAGTGGACCTGCGATGCCTGCAGAGCAGGGAAGGAACATGGGTTTTGCAAAACACATAACCATGAATACAACTGTAAAGGTATGACATGTCAGTTGATACAGTTAATAGTTATATGTCATGTCATCAACAACAACAAAAATGGAAAATCAGATCATGAAAAAACATTTACAAACCGTGTTTACACAGATCTAATATTAAAGATATACAAGTTCTGTAATGAAATGGCTGGGGCATATTGAGAGAGTGTCAGATGACAGAGAGGTAACAACTGTGTACTCGAGACAGCTGAATGGTTGCAGACCATGAGGCAGACCAAAACGATGACAGAGAGATAACAATCAGACAGACCCACAAACACTTTGGGTCACCAACAGGAAAGCAAAAGCCAACCGGAGAGATGAATCAAGGTAGGTGATGTCCGCAGCAATGAACCTCAATGGCTTGGAATGCTATAGAAGAAGAAGTCCATCACAAGTGATGAAGACCATCTAACCTCCAAAAGAAGTAACAATCAGTGATTGTGAGTACAAAGATGACTAATCAGTCCATTGTGAGCTAGGAACGTTTTTGAGCCATGCGGGCAGCAGATGGATGCAACATTAGAGGTGGGTTTTGTTAAAGGGTTCTCTCTAGTCTACATCCATTTCTCTAAATAAACAGAGAGGAACCCTTAAGGCCGAAGACACATTATAAATAATAAACAAGCAGACAACGTATTTATCAGCACTCATAGAAAGATGCAGAAAGACAGAAGGATACACTAAAATGCCAAACAATACACTGTCTGCTTGTTTACTCCACTTCTCTAGCAGTGCAACCTCCTCGGCCTGGCAGACTAATGTACCATGTTTAAGGACTGTCAATTGAATTACAAAGAGCAGAACAAGACAGACAATAATTTAATGATCAGAATATTCTATGAACCCCAAGTTTTGCATGAATGAATCAAGAACTGACATCACTGTACTCAGAACATTCCCACATGTGTTCTGTCCCCCTCCTTGGTGGCTAACAATGAGCTGCAATACTAATGTGCTGCAACCTGATTCAAGTCTGCTTGTCTTCCCCTCACTTTCTGAGATTCAACATTCTGGAACAGTCTCTCCAGGTATAGATTCTTTGCTCTTTTGCATGGTCCACCTAATTACAGAGAGGGAAACTTTAATCAGGTAGCATCTGAAACACATCAGTATGGGAACTCTTCATTGGAGTACAAAGGGGAATACCCAGAGTGCCGTGGTGTGAATTCTTGATTCATTCACTCACAGAGAGCCTTCATAACATCCAAGGGTTCAAACACTTGATGATGAAAGTTGCAGTCTGCAAGGTTATGATAATGAAACTGTTTTCAATTATCTATGTAATCTACTTATACCTCATAAATAAACCAACCCTCTCGGCAACCAAAGTGTGGTAACATGCGGAAGATCCATGTATACATCCTTACCCTACTGTCCGTTTCTGCTGAGCCAGCCAATTCTTGAACGGTGCTATAGTCAGACTACCGAGAATGATCTGCATGGGATTGTAGATCAATAGGGGTATAGACATGATGCTCATGGCTGGGTTGCCCTCAAAGATAATCTCAATCAGAGGGATGCCTGTAGGCAGATAAGGTGTGTTTCAGTTGAACCACACACAGAAATCAGTTATCACAAACTATTAATCTGGCTGCCTACTTGAATGTTTCACTGGCATATGCACGTCAATAATATTAGCTAATTGTAATACTTAGATTCAGGAAATAAAATTATAATAATTTTCAAAGTAGTTCAAGACTAAATATAAAAATAGAGAAGAAATAAAAGGAAGGAAGGAAGAATTAACAAGATAAAGCAGGGGAAGGAGAAGAAGGGGAAGAAGGAGGAGGAGGGTAAGAAAAGGAGAAAGAGAAGAAGAAGGAGGAAGCGAAGAAGAAAAAGGAGGAGCAGAAGAAGAAAGAGCAAAGAAAAGACCAACAAACAAACCTTATTTTTAAAGAATCATAAAGGAGGAGGAGAAGGAGGAGAGGGATATTCCAACAATCACCTCACAGAAAAGACCAGATAAACTGTAATTAAAAACACCTACACAGTCTCGTACTGACATTTAGTAGACATGTAGATATTCTTCTTTATTCACCAGCTGTAAACTCCAGTGGAAAGTCCTAGCTGTTCGTCCATCCGGACTTTGTGCTAGGCCTGAGTTTTGTGTGTACATCCGTTTTACTGGCTAATTTGTGTGCAGGTGGTTGTTCCTTGCCGCTTGGGCAGGACTTTAACTTCGAAGGAAGCCCCCCAATTAGTCGATTCTTATGACATGCTTGTGGGGAGAGGAGAGGAGGGGGGGGGGGGGGGGGCAGGTCTATTCTTGTTTTCCCCACAAAGAGGCACCTGGAACCCACACAGGAAAGACATGTGTATAACTACTGACATACAATTATCCACACTCAATTGTGCTTTCTGATGAGACAACACTCACCCAAAGTTAAGGACTTGTGGGTGGCACAGTAGGTGATTGCCACACGGTCAAGGGAATTAAAGTTGAACAAGGAGCTGGAGCTTGTGAGCAGGAGGCAAGCCATGATGCCAAGCTGCAAACAGAAAACTGAAAAACAGCAGACATCTGACATTATTCAGCCTAGAAATAGGATGATCACATAATAAAACACTCAGTCATAGACCCTCTTGCTCCGGGAACACTTAAAGACTGGGCCATGACTTTACTGGAATTCCAGAAAAACAAAATTCTTTACAATTTTTGTTTACTCGTGTCACTAATAAGTTTGTTTTACCACCAAATTTACTGTGAAGTTGATGAATAATAAAGGTCATTGATATGTTGGACATTATGTAGAAGAAGAGGAGGAGGAGAGGGAAAAAGTACACAAAGAATAGGAGATCTTTTTCTTCTTCTTCTTCTTTTTCTTTTCCTGAGCATTCACCAGCTCTGACCTCCAGTGGAAAGTTTTGGATCATCTTCTGGACTTTCGTCCTGTTCCAGAACTTGAGTTTTGCATGCACATCCATTTCACAGATCTGCCTTATTTATATGCAGCTGCTGGTTACTTGCCCCTCAGGCAGATACATTCCTTCAGAGGAAAAACCCCTACGTAGTCACCTTTAACAACAGCTTGTTAGGGAGCAATGGGTCTATTCCCTCTTCCCCCCCCCCCCCCACCAAAATGGGGAACCAGAACAAACACGGGGAGAGCAGGAGATGACCATATAGAAGATGACAGAGAAATCGGTGGGAGATGATGTGGCAAAAGAGAAAGAGGTCAAGAAAGGGGGATGAGAAGGAAGTTAATGAAGAGAATTAGAAGGAAATGTTAGATGGGAGTTTATATTGACAACTGTGATGAAGATAATATTGATGTTGATGAAAACAATGTTAATGACGACAACAATGCTGATGATTTACTTACTGAGCAAAGTTAAGGCCACCAAAGAGTATGTATCCACATCAAAATCTGTCCGGGAGAATGTTGAGCAGAATGTTGTATAAATGATGTATATAATCAGCACCCTGCCAGAAAGAAAAAAAAAGAACATAATGATGCATATAAATAGAATCTGTTAGACAAACACAACATAATAATATATATATATATATGGAATTCTACATTAAAATGGGACAAACAAAGCATAATGATCAATATGAAGAAAATCCTGATAGATAAACAGTTAACAACACCCTTACATTGTAGGGTGCAAGTCAGCTTAAACATTTTTTTACACTTACAATTCAGAAATAGGCCTATGCTTTCAGTACAGGCTGACACCCACAAGGTTGGCTATCAGTGTGTTGACACACCTTCGTGCCATGACAGAAAGCTGTCAAGAATATTCTAGCGCTGAGTTCCTCTGTCTATCTTTCCAGTGGTCACAACTTGTTACTTTTTCTCTTTTCTTATACCATGACCCCAAAATTATGACTCTCTGTCTGGTGTTTGTGATAAGTTGTCGTAGATGCACTCACCTCTTTCAAAACATTCTTCGAGCACTCACCTCTTTCAAAACATCTGGTCTGCTCTTCTTAGATGTCCAAGGAATTCTAAAGATTCTTCTGTACAACCACATCTCCGAAGCCTCAAGATACTGAAACTGTCCCAGGTAAACCCAACCTAAAATGCGTATCAAGTTAAGTTCTGGGAAGTAAAGGTGGCCAATGTGATGCTGACCACATGACCCATCGAGTGCTGATTGATTGAATAAAATACAGGTGTAGCACTATTCACCCAGTACAACCAAGGGCACAGAGAAGCGTCCTCTACTAATTTACTTTACATACTATGGGGAAAACCTTGTTTTGAATACTTCATTGTTTTCAGACTTGACACCTTTATTTGATGTTCATTCTAAAGGACACGTTTTTTTAATTGTAATTCAGAACACTGTTTCACTGTAATTCAGAACACTGTTTCACTGTAATTCAGAACACTGTTTCACTGTAATTCAGAACACTGTTTCACTGTAATTCAGAACACTGTTTCACTGTAATTCAGAACACTGTTTCACTGTAATTCAGAACACTGTTTCATTGTAATTCAGGACACTGTTTCATTGTAATTCAGGACACTGTTTCATTGTAATTCAGGACACTGTTTCATTGTAATTCAGGACACTGTTTCATTGTAATTCAGGACACTGTTTCATTGTAATTCAGGACACTGTTTCATTGTAATTCAGAACACTGTTTCACAGTAATTCAGGACACTGTTTCATTGTAATTCAGGACACTGTTTCATTGTAATTCAGAACACTGTTTCATTGTAATTCAGGACACTGTTTCATTGTAATTCATGACACTGTTTCATTGTAATTCAGGACACTGTTTCATTGTAATTCAGGACACTGTTTCATTGTAATTCAGGACACTGTTTCATTGTAATTCAGGACACTGTTTCACTGTAATTCAGAACACTGTTTCACTGTAATTCAGGACACTGTTTCACTGTAATTCAGAACACTGTTTCATTGTAATTCAGGACACTGTTTCATTGTAATTCAGGACACTGTTTCATTGTAATTCATGACACTGTTTCATTGTAATTCCTTCTATGTTTTCCAGTCCGCATAAAGGCTGTTTATCTAGTGGCTACTTACTGGCCAATTGTGGCAAATGGGACATTCTGCCGATGTAGCCATCGCTGCTGTCTGCTGCGGATAATCTGACCAATGACAAGAGGCACAAGCACAGTCATAAACAACTGCTGGAAGATTTTCTCTGCTGGCACTTCTACCTCTGATGCGCCAAACTGGCGGGAATATAAACAATTAAAGATTAATTACCAACACTGTTATTTCTACACAAAAGCAGGAACATCAGTAACAATGGTGGCAAGGAAAAAATGTAAAATACAATATAAGAATCATTAGTCTGTTGTCTGTAGATAAATAATTGGAAAAACAAGTCATAAGTCTTGTGAGTATAGATAGACAGGTGAGAAAACAAGCCATTAATCTGAGGTCTATAGATAAACAGTTAGAAAAAAAAACAAGTTATAAGTCTTGTATAGTTGTAAAAACAAGTCACTAATCCAGTGTCTATAGACAAAAAGTTGCAAAAACAAGCTATAAGTCTTGTGTCTATAAATACACATTTGGAAAAACAAGCTATTAATATGGTATCTATAGATAAAAAGTTGGACAAGCAAGCCATTAATCTGGTGTCCATAGATAAAAAGTTGGGGGGAAAAAAGTTACAATTCATGTTCGATAAACATTTGAAAAACAGGTCATTAATATGGTGTCTATAGATAACAAGTTAGAAAAATAAATCAGTAAACAATAATAAACAGTTGGAAAAACAAGTCATTAGTCTGGTGGTATAGGTAAACAATTCAACACACACACAAAACAACTAGCTATTATCTACTGTCTATAGGAAACAATATGGAAATAAAGCCACTGTTTTATTCTATAGAGATACAATTAGGAAAACCACCATCAGATAGTGTCTGCAGAGAAATTGTGTGAAAAACTCCTATTAGATAGTGCTTATAGAGAAACAATTAGAAAAAACAGCCATTATTTAATGTCTGTAGAGAAACAACTGGAGAAAAAACAAAATGTATGACAAGTAAGAAAATTACTACAGAGGATGTTGCAGTGACGGTACTTCAGACTTTCTCAATAAACAACAGTAAGAAATACAGTGATATGGTGACAACATAACAAGACCAAAAACTGAGTGTGTTATGTGAAAAAATAGTTCCACACATAACTTAAATAATCTTAACTGTGATGTACTGCCTGAATTTTAAAAAAAAACCATTTCATGTGTCCACAGACAAATCACTAGTTGAAACGCTGTCTTTTCTGCTATTATTCATTCATCGTGTGTGTGTGCGTGTTATTTTTCCCTCTATGGGTAGATGACTAATAAGATTTGTTCTGTAGCAGAATAGCTGTAGTCATGTTTTAACCCCATTGACCCAGAGAAAACAATATTTTGAAACTGTCATTTGTTACAAATCCCCGAGAAGCCATTATTTTGCCATTACCTCTCTAGCAAGTCTCCTTTAGGTCTAGTTAATGCCACTGGTTTTGTTTGCACCTGCACAGTCTTTAAGAGCTTGAATATGATTACATAGATATTTAAAAATAGCCCCCATAAATAATCGTTCATCATTTCCTGTTCATCTGGGAAGGGGTTGCTATAAACATATTTTTTTTAAACTAAGGGATTTTTCTTCTCTTCTGTCCTACTGTTTATGCCATGAAGCATTACAGAGAGGAGTTATATGTAGTTTTTTTTTACTTTTGCCAGTTGCGTAGCTTGTGTTAATGTGACAAAGAGATGGTACGTCTTTAACTCTCAGCTCTAGCTTGTTATACATCAGTTTACCACCAAGTTGTGCAGAACTGGCCAGTCTATCTGCCTGCTTGTTTCCCAACACACTGGCATAACCTGGACAAAATATGCAAACAATGCTAACCACCTGGACCTCTAAAGGGATGCTTGCCATTCTGCACAGAGCATGCCTGTCTCAATTTTTCTCAAAATGCTTTGTGAGTCAGTTACAGTTATGACATGTGTGTACGGCTGATTATTAAGCCAGCTAAGGCAGCAGTAACTACCTCCACCTCCATTCTCAAACTAGACTTTGCGATTTCATATGCCAGGCTTTGCTGCACTAAGCAACGTCCATTCGCTTTTGCTATGAACCCCTATGCACTTTGGCGATGATTCTTTTTATTTTAAAGTACAAAATCTATTGAAAATATTCTTTCAATGCAGGAAGTAAACTGTCACTCTCATATCGCCTGCTTGCTAGGGAAAAGGCAGGGGATGTTCTAAAGGAGTCCCCAGGCGTGGTGCCACCCCACTAGCTAACCAGATATTTCACATTTATGACTATATATCCCACAGTCATATAGCCAATAGGCACAAAGGTCCAACGTATGCTTACGGTTTTTTATCGAGGTTGTCTCCTCTAGATTTGTTTTGTTTTGTGCCTCTTCAGTCACGCACAACGGTCTAGACTGTAGAAGGATTTTTTTTTATCAAGAGACTTACAACCCTATAGGTACAAGTACTCATAGGACCAGACCACGCTCTCAAGGAAGAACAGCTGGTGTGCTCCTCTGTGCAAGAGATCAGACATCCACAGCCCTGGATCTCTCTGACCCTTGTGTATTCCGGTGTATAAAGAATCACGGATGGCCATATCTGCAAATAGTTCGTGATGCAGCTAAGGGCACTAAGACTGATGACATATACGGGTCGCTAAAACATCGAACAATAAATAATTACACAGTATCTAACAAACACATCAACTTCCCTGTGACACCCAGCAATGAAACACATTGCCGTCATGTGTTTGAACTGGTGAATGGTTTGTTGTGATGAAAAATAAAATAATACGTGATCTTCTGGCCTTAAAATAATCAGAACAACTAGAAGTGCCATGCTGATTGAACTCCTTCTTCAAAACAGTGAGCTTAAAGAAGTGAGGAAACAAATATGCAAAGACACAATGAGCACTTACCATTAACAAAATTAGAGCTGGAGTAATAAAAATACCCTGTTTAAAAAGAAAAGAAAAACATTCATTTACTTCTTTGTGTGTTCATATGTATTGTGATTTCAGAGAGAAAGATCAGGGTGGGGAAGTAATCAATACAAAAGAGCGCAGAACAGAGAGAGTGGAGAGAGAATACAGACAGTGAGAGGAAAGTGAGCAAGTAAGATGGAGGAGAAAAAAAAAGAGTAACTAAGAAGTTAGAGTAATGACAGTGATAATGTTAAACATTGAAAGAAAGAGATAGGGAATGGACAGAGAGCGAGGATGAAGAGAAACAGAAGCAATCAACCCTGGAGCACAGTGTTTTCTAAGAATATGAGAAGCAGGAAAAATGACTGTAGAGTTTTAAAATATATTATGAACAATTATTAACAAAAGTGAAGTGAAGATCCCTTTTCACGCCTTTAGGCGCGTCGGGCATATAGGAAGAGGACCCATATTTTTACAGACCAATCGGCACTAGGTGGGTAATGTGGTCAGTATTACGCAAGATGTCTTTACTTCCCCAGTTTATACATCCTGGTACCCATTTCAGGCTGGGTCCATCTACGACGCCCAAAACCCTGATAAAAATCCACGCAGCCAGCAGCGGGTTTCGATCGAGGTACGCTGAAATTATGAAACTATAAACAAGCACATCCATAAAAACGTGTTCTTTACCTTAATTAAAATCATCATAAACATAGTCATATAGACTGGTACTGTAGCAGTCAAATGAATGTCAAGAAAATGAAGTCAGGGATGCCATGGAAGTTTCTTTCCTTCAGTCCCAGAAGATTTCATAGCCAATACCCAAGTCTAAAAATGACAGCCACACGAAAGCATAAGCACATTTTTTGCAGGCATCCATGGTGAATTAGAGCTTAGTGTGTCTGCCAAGAAAGGTCTAGGTTCTTCTTCTTCTTCTTCATTTATTTCTTTCTTTCTTTCATTTACTCTTCTTAGTGTTCACCAGCTGTAAACTCGGCGCAAAGTTCAGGTTGTTTGTCCACTTCTCGACTTTGGCCTTGTTCCAGGATTTGAGTGTTTGGTACACATCCATTGTATAGATCTGGCTTATGTGTGTGCAGACTGCTGGTTCTGGCCTCTAAGGCAGATGCACCCTGACTTCGAAGGATACATCAATCCTATCTAGGCTGGTGAGACCTCCAACATGGAACCAGTTTCCAGGAGACCAGAAATGTGTAGATAAGTCTTGACCAGCTTCAGATCTGGTCCTAATGCATCAGATATGTGTGATTCACCACTGTGTGTGATACAGTGCCATGCATGACTCAGCACCTATGTGTGATTCACCACCGTGTGTGATATAGCACCATGTGTGATTCAGCACCTATGTGTGATTCACCACCGTGTGTGATATAGCACCATGTGTGATTCAGCCACTATGTGTGATTCACCACCGTGTGTGATACAGCACCATGCATGATTCAGCACCTATGTGTGATTCACCACTGTGTGTGATAAAGCACCAGGTATGATACAGCACCATGTGTGATTCACCACCGTGTGTGTTACAGCACCATGCGATCACTGTCACGGCGTGGCTGTTCAAATTCTTTTGAGTTTGTTGTGTGATGAGATCCTTTCAGTTAGACCTTTGTCTTACACTACTGCCCACAGAATATACAATTCCATTTTGTAGCAAGGCTTATTCCAGCATCAATGAAATGTATGGTACATAGAAAGATTTGGACTGCATGTTCACTTTTATAAAGGTTACCAGCCTCCTGACATAAATTTCTGACAGAAGATTCAAAGAAGAAGAAGAAGACGAAGAAGAAGAAAAAGAACTTAGAAAGAAAAACAATTTAGGACCAACACAGATACAAACAAACACTGACCAGAAGGCTGCCAAATGCTGAGTTGAACACAGAGGCTGCCTGTGAACAAAAACAGAAAAGGAATATGTTTAGCATGTTTATACAGCAGTTACAGCCTTTACATATGCACTCATACTGATGCACAAAGGTACACACACTGATAAACATTCTTTGCCAAACATAACACCATCCCAAACTGGTTTATATTTTTATTTTTTTTAATCATTCTTTCATTTTACACAGAATTTTGGTCTGTGAATCACTTTATATATCAGTTTTTTTTAAATCTGAGACTTAACCCATTTCGGAAAGAAAGAAAAAAACAGGCCCATAACCCCCAGACAAGCAAGTCCTAAAAGGAGTCTGCTGAAATCAGATGTGACAGGCCAAAATGTGCAGATATTGCAGGACATTACAAACATGAACTTAAATTAGACAAAGAAACTTGGAAGGGAATTATAAACTTTGGTGGGCAGTGATTACATTGTTGTTCTGCTAAAAACTTGCTTTATAACAACAGTATACATGTCATCAGAACGGTAACTTCGATACAACATCTGATATGGGAAGAATCACTTCCGAGTATGTAAATGAAGAAGTCTAGTTTGTTTAACATTTAGGTGCAATCATTTCACAGCAGTTCCAACTTCATATCACACAGGTTGCACATAATTGCTCTAGTTCTGTGCCAGCGAACACCACACATAATGCCCATCGCTGTCCCTTGTGGGGAAAAAAAACTGAAGTCTTGGCCCAGTAATAGCAGTGCTTGCACTAAATGCCTAAAGCAGCCATCAGAAGTGCCAACACAAACAGGTCAGTACCAGAATTGCAGTTCATTGTCTACATGAGTGTACCAATTAGAATGGGTTAGAATGAAACTGTGTGAACAAGAGTTGAGACTTACAACATTCCCACCCACAAGTTTGGTCAAAATGATGGCAGAGGAAACAGGTGGCGGCAATGTGCTCAGTATCATCAACCTGCGGGAACAAGAAACATCGCACCATGCATCAATCACAACAGCTATAGGCTTAATACATGAACTGTTGGAGGATAGGAGTTGGTAATATCATTAGTTAATGCAGGGTGAATACAGGTGAAATCCTCCCCCATTTTACATTCTGTGACTGTCCCCGCCATTAGATTACTGTCCTCTGCTTAATAACAAGGTTTCCACGACACAATCTATGGTTCGAATATCTTCCTTTTTTCTCTACTCCTGGAATGCCTCGTGGCATAAGGGCAGAGAGATATTTGAAACGGGCCCTTCTGTTCGCTTCATATAAAGTACTTTTCAGTGTCTCTGATATTTCTGCAGTCCATCTTCTGCATGGTTGACCTCTGGATCCGTTACCATTGTATAACAATGCTCTCTGTGGTGCCCTGTCTGATGCCGTAATTGTTGGCCAAACCATTTGATTAATCAGGGCAGGGAGAGATCTCTGGAACATGCCCTACAGTTCACTTCAGATAAAGTACTTTTCAGTGTCTCTGATATTTCTGCCATCCATCTTCTGCGTGGTTGACCTCTGGCTTTGTTACCATTGTAACTGTATAACACTACTCTCTGTGGTGCTCTGTCTGATGCCAATCTTGTTACATAGTCAAACCATTTGATTGACCAGGACAGGAAGAGATCTCTGGAAAGGGCCCTACGGTTCACTTCATATAAAGTACTTTTCAGTGTCTCGATATTTCTGTCATCCATCTTCTGTGGGGTCGACCTCTGGCTCTGTTACCACTGTATATGTATAACACTCCTCTCTGTGATGTCCTGTCTGATGCCAATCTTGTAACATGACCAAACCATTCTATTTGTTGCCTACCTATAAAGTTTAGTATCGGTTCTTTGGTGACTCTCCTCCTGATATCATCATTCCTAAGTCAATCTTTCCTCATAACACCTAGCATAGTACACAAACCTTTTATTCCTGTCATGACTATTTTCCTCCTGTATCCTGAAGACAGTGTCCATGTTTGACATTGATAGCATAACTTTGGTAAGATTACTGTGTTGAACAGTGTTCAACGCCGTGTGGCGTTAGCAGTCATGTCTGTCCACAACCTTCTGTCTCATGAACTTTCAACCAACTCTGACACAGATGCTCCTTCATGCCATGTCTGTAAACCCTAATGGCTGTGAAGCCTGTAAAGTCCAAGTTGTTCATCCATTTCTAGACTTTGGCTTGGTTCAAGCATCTGAGTTTTGCATGTGCACCTGTTTTACATATCTCGCCACGTTGGGGTTACCCTGACTACAATAGCACAGGGAAGTACATCGAAGATACTTGTGAAACAACTAACCTATTAGTGCTGCAGGACACAGAGTCTACACCTACACTGTTACACAGGGCCCACCTATCTCTCAGCAGACCAGACCTGACCATCTGCTCATCCGACTTAGCAGACGCAAGCTATCCCCAAGTCCTGGACGACATAGGAAGTGACCACAAACCTATACTCACAACTGTAAGCACCACCCCTAAATTACGCTTCAAGCAGAGAACCCGTTGGAATTTCCGAAAAGCAAACTGGAAACTATTTCAGGAAACATCTGACTGCCTCCTGGGAAGAATTGACAACAGCTGTGTGGAAACTTTTTGTGAAGGCATAACACAAGCAATCCTGAATGCAGCGTCGAAAGCCATCCCAAGGGGCAGCCGGAAGGCATATAAACCTTTTTGGAATCAAGAAATTCAAAATACTATATCTGAAAGGAATAAAGCAAGAATATTTCTTGAAACTGCACGTTCAACAGAAGCAAAGATCCAATACAATAAAGCATGTGCCAGAGTAAAGCTTGTAGTTAATAAGTCTAAAAGAGATAAATGGACAGAAACTTGCTCCAACTTAGACCTTAGACAGAATGGAAATAAAGCATGGACTTTAGTTAAAAACCTCTCCGGAGAAAGTAGAAGGGTGAACCCAAAACCAGTGACAGATGGGAGTAAGACAATCACTGAGGACAAGAAGAAAGCAGAACATTTCAATCATTATTTTGCCTCGGTTAACAGAGCAGGTAAGCTGTCAGAACTCGATAGAACACAGCTCTCTCAGTTGAAGAAACAAGAGAGAGCTCCAACAGCCAGCGACTCCCTTTTTGAAAATGAATTTAGCATGGATGAATTAGAGCAAGCCCTGAAGAAATTAAAACCTAGAAAATCTCCAGGCCCAGATAAGATCCACAACGAAATGCTGCTACATCTTGGCCGGTCTGGGAGAGAAGTAGTTCTCAGGCTTATTAATAAAACTTGGAGGTCAAGCAAACTTCCAAGGGCATGGAGGAATGCATATATCGTCCCCATCCCTTAAAACCAAAAAGCCTCCAGATGACCCCAAAAGCTACCGCCCGATATCCTTAACATCATGCTTGGGCAAAGTTGCAGAAAGAATGATAAACAGGCGCTTATATTGGTTCCTTGAGAGTTCTGGTGTTCTATGCCATGAACAGGCAGGCTTCAGAACCAACAGCTGCACAGAAGACCAGCTGTTCAGACTGACACAAAGAATACATGATGGCTTCCAGAATAAAGAAACACACAGTGGCAGTCTTTGTCGACCTCCAGCAGGCCTATGACAGAGTATGGAGAAAAGGTCTCCTGATGAAGATGATGAGCATAGGAATACATGGCAGATTGTATAACTGGGTGAAATACTTCCTGATAGATAGAACAATCCAGACTAAGATGCACAACGCAATCTCTTCTAAAGAAGTCTTGGAGGAGGGCTTGCCACAAGGCTCATCATTGAGCTGTACACTATTCCTAATCTTTATCAATGACCTGCCAGAACAAATCAAGGCCGAAAAAGCCTTGTACGCTGATGACCTAGCAATATGGCAGAGTCATGAAAATGTGGAAAGTGGAGCCCAAAGACTGAATGGAGACCTTAGAAGACTGCATGATTACTGCCAAAGATGGAAACTCAAGATTAACTGTGCAAAGACGGTCTACACAATCTTTACCAAAAGCCACCAAGTAGCAAGGAAGAATATTAACCTGAGGTTAGACAAACACCAAGTGATGAAAGAAGAGCATCCCACATACCTTGGAGTCACACTTGACCCGCAGCTCAGCCTCAAGAACCATATTGAAAACATCAGGAATAAGGCATTGAGGCGGTTACAGTTATTAAAGAGACTTGCAGGTACATCATGGGGATCAGACAAGGAAACTCTGAGGGGCTTATACCTAGGATATGTTCGCTCTGTGATAGAGTACAACAACCCACTGCTTACAACTTGTTCCAAAACTAACCTAGAGACTCTTGACAGAGTACAAAATAATGCCCTCCGATTAATCTGCGGAGCTATGCAGTCTACACTAACTGCTGCATGTGAAATCCATACAAATGTGGAACCCCTCGGGTTGCGGAGAGAAAAAGCCACTTTAGAAATTTATGAAAGATGCGTTAGGAAAAATCGTAACCATCCTAATAGATATCTTGTAGAAAACTAGGAATCCAAACAAAGAATAAAGCACAAATCGGTTTTACACTGTGTTAATGAAATTCAGGACAGATACCACCTCCCAGAAAGACGTCAAGGAATTCAGAATGTTGCAAAAAACCTACCACCACATGCTCGCTTTAAAGCTCCAGAAGTCCAAACTAAATTGGTAGGCGAGGAAACCAAACAGTCAGACCCAATCGCTCTTATGAACTCATCACTAAAGACCGTTGATTCTTACCCCCAAGAATGGATACATGTCTATACTGATGGATCAGCATTTAAAGCTACCATTAAAGCAGGTTACGGAATCTACATAGGTTATCCCGATGGATCTGTTAAAGAGATTTTTGATGCATGCGGGGAATTCTGTTCAAACTATGAAGCTGAAATAATTGCACTGGAAACAGCAGTATACCACCTAAAGACTGTAATGGATGTTTACCCCTCAAAGGTCCAAAATATTGTCATCTTCACAGATTCAATGTCTGCCCTTCAAGCTCTGGAGGGCAATGAACGCTGCAGAACTGACATAGCCAAGATAATCCTGGATGCCGATCAGCTTATTACCTCATACAACATCAGAATAGTGATGCAGTGGATTCCAGGTCACTCCGGCACACCAGGTAATGACAGAGCTGACAGATTGGCAAAGAAAGGAGCAACACAAGAACAACCACCTACAGCGACAACCCTCCAGACAGCAAAAACACTGATAAGAGCTATAAACAAAGAGACTTGGTTGAACAGATGGGCCATGGGAGACACTGGAAGAGAGGTTTATAGACATATGTCTGGCCCTGATCCTAATGACAGCATTAACCATCTAACAAGAAGGGACCAGGCCACCATCTTCAGACTTAGAACGCAACATACTCCACTCAATGGACACCTAAACAGAATACAGCCACAACACTCCCCAGAGTGCCAGCTATGTAACTACCCCTACGAAACTGTTGAACACCATCTCTTTGAGTGCGCAAAACTCAGTGAGACAAGAAGAACGCTACTCCCTCCGAGACCAGACAAGTGGAACACCTTGTACGGAGGAAAAGAACAGCTTGTGAAAACATGCAAATTCCACTACATGGCATTGGGCCAAAGGGCGAAAGCTCATGCGCCGCTGGATCGATAACAACAACAACATATCTGGCATAACTGTATGCACACTGTTGGTTCCTTGTCTTGGGGCAGATACACTCAGATTCTTTTTATCGTTCTCCATTTAACAGATCTGGCTATTTGCAGACTGTTGGTTCCTTGCCTTTCAGGCAGGTCCAACCCGACTTTGAAGAAAGCTCCCAGTTAGTCAACTCTTACGGCATATTTTTGTGTAGGCAGTGGGTCTTTTCTTGTTCTCCCCATAAGTAGGCGCTGGAACCAACACGGGGAGCTCAGATTTGTATCTCTTTGAGATCCGAGCAACACTATGTGTGTTGACTGAGAAGTTTCGATTTGCCCAAACAACACTTTCTGCATCGATCATGTGTCCCGTACATATTGATATTGATTTTTGTTTCTAACATTCAGAACTACCATTAAAGTATCCAGGGAAGGTTACTACAACATTTTTTCTTCGTAAACAAGTGTATGTTCTGGGGGAAAAAATGGGTGCAAACTGATCCAGTTCACTGCTACTAAGATTTTTAGACAATTCATTTTCCAATTTCGTGTTCAAATTACCATTGTTACCAATGTTCCGAGCACAAGCACAGGCAAAAAATGCACTTCTCCCTGGCTGAAGCTCTAAAATTGTTTCAGTCAGATATTTTCTAATAAAGAAACGTTGAAATTTTTCATAAAAGTGATTCCGACTGTGACTTTACTCCAGCGGTAGCTCTGACGTTCTGATGAGGTAAATCCAGGAGGACCCATTTCATTTATGAACAATGTTGCATCAAAAGGACTGTTTCAGACAGTACTATACTCATACAATGGCTAAGATGCAGTGAAATCATTGAAGCTACAGTCTCTGAAAAACTACAAAGTTAATATTTTGTGTGAATAGGTAGGACTATGGGTCAAATTTTCTGCACTGTTTTCTTTTAAATTTTGTTCAGCACTCTTTGAGAACCTGGGGCCTCTGGGTGATAAACTAATCCAAATCTGAATGAGTTAGGAAACTGAACAAACTTTAAAGTGTTATTCAAAATTTTGATATTCTCTGCTTTTTTGCTGCAAAAAAATGGTAAGTGAAGATTTATTTGGTACAATTTTGTCTATGTAAACACAACAACTGCTAAATTAGATTTTTTTTTTAATCGGCGTGTCAAATTCAGAATTACCAAACCTGGCTGCGGGTCATATAGAAAGAATCAATTATAAACACAACACCCAGATTTCCTCATAACACTAGACTTTTGTGGAATAATCTGGGATTATAATTCCTTGCTATGCCACTGACCAGACACACTCATCCACTGACACACTTCAGTGTATTCCTAAATGAAAAAGAACAGGTGTCACCTTATATTTTATTACTGAAGTCCACTGTCTGAAGACACTGTCTCCTACTGTCTGAGTTTGTCCGCAAGATATGTGTTAAGATTATATAGTAATTTTACACCAGCCTCTGGGGCCGGTTTTGACCTTGGGCCAAATTTTGCACACCCCCCATTTAAACCGAACTACATACCCAAAAGAGTTGAATGGGAGTTGACAATGAGGCAGACCAAGAAGACAGTGTAGAGATAATCTAGATAATCTACAATCAGTCATACACATTTGTGGTCACCAAGTGGAAAAAGAACACCTATCATAGACATGTATGGAGGCGGGTGGTATCTGCAGCAATGTACCCCAGGTGCTTGGAATGCTGATGAAGAAAACATATATTCTACTAACAACATATAGCAACGATCGTTTTGTTTAAATCTATTCTACAAGGCAACATATAAAAAATATGATCTCACCCACTCCAACTCACCCATCAAGTAATGCAGGATGAAAGGATGTATGTTGCAGTATAAAAACCAGCATGTACATAATGCATGGGAAGACAATGAAAGTGAATGCCTGAATAAACAAATGCAGGTGCCATCGCAGGATGGCAACTTTCAGTTCCTGTAAGGGGAAACAAAGGTGATAATTAACAATGACAGAAGAGACCAATAATTACAATATCATCATCATCACTATCATCAAGTGCACTGCCCACTGATTTGGGCATTCATGCCTCGCCACAGTCTGTGATCTCAAACAGCAGGTATCAGTTTTTGTGCTGATACTCCTCTCAATGGACAAAAAGGCTGTTAAGAATCTTCTTGCCATGTCTCCCTCTGTTTCTAAAAATTTCTTCAGCTGTCACAACATGTTCCTGTTTCTTTCTTCTCACACTGTGGCCAAAAAAAAGACACTTTTTTCACAGTATACAGGAATACAAGTAAAGTCAATAGGAATGGCAAAAATATTATCAACAGTATTAACATATTAACCTCAAGTGAGATTTGTCTTCCATTTTTTTAAAGCACTACAAATGACAATTGTCAACAATCTGACACCACTTCTGGTGCGAGAAAACTGGACATAAAAAAGGTAATTACAAAGTTGAGTTGAGGCTTTGGAGTGGATAAACAGAAGAATAAGATAGATTTCGTAGCGTGGAGTGGGGGAGAGGTGGGAAAAGGGCCAAAAAAAGGGGGAAGGTGGGTCAGATACATAAGTTCTAGAGACAGAGAATGACAAGAAAACTGAAGAGAGAAGTAAAAAACACAAAAGACAAGTGATATATTTTTTAGTTTCATTAACATACATCATTGTCAGTTCTCGTTATGCCTAGTGGCAAATGAGGCTTCATTGAGGACTTTCCATGCCTTCCTGTTGTCGCGTGCGAATGTGCACCAGAACGCACCAGTACGGAGTGAGCAAATAAGACGTCAAAACAATACGTAACGTTGTTATGATTTATTGTTGTAAAAGCAGTTGATGTTTATAGTCCGAAGGAGACGGACGTGGGGATCCTTGAGGACGCTTTACCCCGGGATCCCACGGAAGCAAACGTTATATAAAGTTGGATCCTTGAGGACGTTTTACCCCGGGACTCCAAGACCTCAGCAGGAAGCTGGTGAGCACTACATTCTCGGCAGCAAGCCGGTATACTTTCATTGCTTAATTCGGACTTGTCCGAGGAGAAAGTAAATCGTCTGGATCTCAAGGTCGGACTGCGACCTATCGTAAGGACATAACCGTCCACGGATGTACGAGTGAGCTTTGGTTGAACGAGTTGATTATTGATTGCATATGTATTTCTCCTTGTATTGCTGATCGTATATATCAATACAACCATTGGAACTTAACGCATAGCGTTCGAGCTCTACATTCTGAAAGCATTGAAGTAACTACTGTTTTACCCCTACTTGGCCTAATTCATCTTGGTACCACACACATCAGCATGAAGCTCTGCACGTCACAATGAAGGTCCGCACGTATCAATGGGGGCCAGCCTTTAAAGAATGAGGGACCTCTCGTCACAAGTGTGATACGACATTTTGTCGCATTGTTGTGCCTCAAGTTGTACACGAAGCACATTCCAATTGTCACAGTCTTTACCAATCTCTAGCTGTGGATATCGTTCAATGTATCAAGTCGCCGCCGCCGGTCTGTTCTAGCCATCGTTGGATCTTCATCGGGACCATATCATTCTTCGTTCGTTGGATCTTCATCGGGACCGTATCATTCTTCTTCGTTGGATCTTCATCGGGACAGTAGCACTCTTCGTTGGATCTCCGTATCATACTTCGCTAGATCTTCATCATAATCAAGTCACCGTTACTGACTGTGCCACTCTCCGTGGGATTGAATCGGATCAAGTCGTCCTTTTGGCTGTACATTGATCTGCTACTTGCCGTTGTACCGGTCGTTATTTTAGCGATTTTTCATCGCTAACATTGCAGTGTGTTGTTTGTCTGCCACCCAATTGGTAAGTCAATTGTGGTTGTTGTGGTTTCTGTTGCGCTGACAATTTAACTCTTTCCTCCAGAGAACCTGGTTGTCCGTGCGCAAGTGGAGAGCGACATTAATTGTACGTGTGTGACAGTACGCAGTATTCGTTGTCCTGTAGCGTCACTTCACCACACACTATCATATATATCATATATTGTATATTGATTGTCATATTATTTAAATATGTCTACATTTGCTGAGTTTTTGGAGTTAGGTCGAAGTATAGGCCTAGAAAATGGACAACTCTTAGCTTTCGCCGAAGCCAGAATGAAAGAGTTGTCGGACAGAGATAACCAGTTACGCGATGAGAGAACAGCGGAACGCGCATGGAAAAAAGAAATGGAGTTCGAGAAGTTACGCATGGAAAAAGAAGCTGAGGCTGAGAAACTACGCTGGGAAAAAGAAGCTATGGCGGAGAGACTGCGTTTCGAAATGGAGACTAATTTGGAAAGGTTACGTTTGGAGAACGAATTAGAACTAGCGCGTATAGATAGAGACAAGGTTGTTGCTGTGTCAGAATCAGAGAGCCGTCGTCTTGTGACTAGTAGCCGTTCGGGTTCCGAACAAGGGGCATGTGTTTACATACCCAAATTACCATTTCTTACACCTACAGAAGATGTTCATAATTTTTTGGATCGCTTCACGTTAGCGATGAATACAGCTAAGATACCAGAGGAACAATGGGTATCTCGTTTAAGGGATTTGCTAACGGGACCAGTTTTGAACACGTTCACGAACTTATCAGAAGACGAACGCGCGTCGTTCGAAATAGTCAAACAAAAACTGTTGGCGTCGAAGTGCATGACCGAAGAAGGTTACCGTGTGCAGTTTAAATCTGTGGTGCCATCCGTCGATGGAAGTTTCGCTGATTTTGTGGCCCGCGTTAGAACGTTGTTTACGCGTTGGGTGACATTGGCAGATGTTAAAAATTCTTATGATAAGTTGGCTGATCTCATTATTCGAGATAAAATTTTGTCTTCATGTAGTTCGGAGATGTTCTCATTTTTTCAAGAAAGGAAACCGAAGTCAGTTGAGGAGATGACAACATTGGGAGAACAGTATGTCACTGCAGATCCTGGTAAACCATTGCACAACCCCAGGTTCGAGGACATACTCCCAGCTGCATCCAGTATTAGGGTGCACCACAACGCCTCGTCAAATCGGCCCAGGTGGAACAAATGCCATAATTGGCAGGGGCGCTATCGCAGCCACAGCGAACAGAGACAACCACCCCATAGAGATCAAACGTCCAAAAAGCAGGGTGAACATTATCAACCCCGTTCATCTGCTTGTTCAATCTGTCTTTCGTGGAGACACAAAAGTCCCGATTGTCCCCACAAGCGACACAGGAAAGATGATGACGATGGTCCATCTTCACGAGGTAGGTTTCAACGCAACACAGGTCCTATAAGGTGCTATGTATGCTATGTATGCCGTGGTTTCCATAAACGTTCTGAGTGCCCAAGGGTTATGAACAGTCATGCTAATTCCGCGCAAACAGTAAACGCAGCGATGTCACAAAAAGTGACAAATTTAGCGGACGGTCAGGTTCGAATCCATCCAGAAATTGTTTACCCAGCGTTGTCAGCTGTACCACTGGAGGCTGGTTTGCCTTTGCATAATGGTTATGTTGGAAACATAAAATCTAAAGTATTACGTGACACGGGTGCCAATGTTATAGGAGTGGCTAGATACCTAATCCCCAAATCAGCATACTTAGGTCGGTATTGCAAGTGTCGTACTTTTGGTGGTCGTTTAGAAAGATTTCCTTTAGCAAAAGTCTATTTAAATAACCCGTATTTTCAAGGGGTTGCCGAAGTGTGTGTTTTGGAGAGACCATCAGCAGACGTACTCCTTGGATCAGTTCCAGGAGCAAAGATGCCCTCGCGTGAGGAAATCGAACGCTGGTATAATGAAAATGAGGGTGTGACTGAAGCTAATGCTGCAGTTACACGCGCTCAACAGAGAGTAAGTAACGAGGAAGCCACACCTCCGTTACAGTCAGCTACTTCGAACGAAAACCAAATAGCTATCACATGTGGGATAGCTAGCGAAGAAGCAGTAAAGAATGAACCAGAACGACCAAAAGAGCCTGGAAACGAACCACACGCACCGAAAACAAACAGTTTTGCGATACAACAACGGGCGGATCCTACCCTCACTAAATGCTTTTCTAGGGCAGAAGTAACCGGTGTTAGAACATGTAAGCAAGGTACATGGCATTTTTATGTGAAGAATGGAATTTTAATGAGATATTTTAAATCACCTGTTATGCAATGTAAACAATTAGTCGTTCCTTTATGTTATAGAACCGATGTTCTGAGAGTTGCACATGACACTCCTTTTGCTGCACATTTAGGTATAGGTAAAACGTCCTCAAGGATCCAACTTTATATAACGTTTGCTTCCGTGGGATCCCGGGGTAAAGCGTCCTCAAGGATCCCCACGTCCGTCTCCTTCGGACTATAAACATCAACTGCTTTTACAACAATAAATCATAACAACGTTACGTATTGTTTTGACGTCTTATTTGCTCACTCCGTACTGGTGCGTTCTGGTGCACATTCGCACGCGACACCTGTCCTGTGCAATCTTCAGTGCAGTTTTCCATGTCAGAGATGCATCACTCAGGTCACTTTCATTGTTTGTCTCCATGTTGTTTTTCAGCGCCCCTTTTTTCTCTTTCCCTTTGGTGTGCAAGTGAGAGCTGTTTTAGCAGGTATATAAGGATTCATTCTCATAATGTAGCCCGGCCATTTCCATCTTCTCTTTGCTATCATACTGTCTATAGTTTTTTGGTCTGTATCTTGAAGTAGTTAAGAGTTTGAAATTGTATCTAGCCAGAAAATGTTTATTATTCTACGTAAACATGTGTGGTGGAAGATAGATAGCTTGAGTGCATTTCTTTTTGTCATTCTCCAAAATTCTGCTCCATACAAAAAGAACTGGCAAAATGATGCTCGGGTAGAGTCAGAGTTTTGTTCCTCTGCAGTAACATACATGGTGCTTCAATTTTTAAAAAAATTTCAAAGATAATAGTTGAATTCATGTGAGCAAGAGATAGACAGCGATATATGTTGGAAGAAGACATAAGAACATGGGAAAACACATGCAGGTATAAGCATAAAATATATATTATTCTGTCCTCCTTTATTTTTCTACCTAAGTATTTTCCCACATAAGTTTAATTTGTCAGTGTCTGTGGCTTAGGTGCTGTGAAAGCTCTTCGTAATTCTGGGCTGCCGGGTTTAATCCCAGTTGCAGGTTATTTGGTAGGAGATCACCATGCGCTGATTTTGACAGTGGTAAAGAGAGCCGACTGTTCAGTAAGCAATGCCAAACAACTACTGAATGTAAAAATTGCCAAGTAAATCCACAAACATCCCAAAACTGCTGGATTGGTTCTGCAACATCCGGTATAGCAGGCATGTCAAACTTGAAGCCCAGGGCGGCATGAGGCTCTTTGCAAGCACACCTGAAGCTACATAAAGGAAATATTCTGCAATAATTGTTATTAAATGACTCCAATTAGATGTCATGTATGGCTTTCATGATGACACAATTATGACCTGTATTGCCCTTGGGGGATTAGATGACATGCATGTGTCTCACGATGACACAAATATTACCTGTATCGCCCTTGGGGGATTAACTGTCATGTGTGGCCCCATGATGACACAAACATGACCTGTATTGCCCTTGGGGGATTAGATGTCATGTATGGCCCTCATGATGACACAAATGTGACCTGTATTGCCCTTGGGGGACCCTCAGTTTTACAAGTCTGCTGTATAGGATATGTAAATAATGTTTGTAAAAGTCTAATTCTCTTAATTCAATTCTTGTGTTGGTAAACCCCACAAATTACTTGTATCTTGTGTCTATATACTTCACAAATTACATGTGTCTTGTGTTGGTATACCCCACAAAGTACATATGTCTTGTACACCCCAGAAATTACATGTGTCTTTTGCTGTTATACTCCATACATTACATATATCTTGGGTTCATGTTTCTCCACTTTCTGTTTGAACATACCTCAGTGGGAAGAGAGAGTCCAGTGTTGAGAAACACCAGGGAAACTGTAATGTACTTGACTGTAATCTCTGGCTTCAGTAACCCTGAAATATGTCAAAACAGTGTACACTTACACAACAAACACACACACATCAGAGTCATGACACCCTGGCTGGCTGTGCGACTATCATGAATGGGCTATCTATAGACAGGAGAGACATCATTAATGCCATACAACAGACTAAATGCTGTGAGGCTTTCAATTTTATGGAAGGATTTTTCGCTGAATAGACTGCATACCCTGAGTGTACCTATTGGAGCAGCAAGACAGGAAAACCAGGCGGGAGCCATCCATCGTCACATCAGCCAGAAAAGAATGGGAGTTGTTAGCCTAAAATCACCTGTAGACATACTCAGGAGGAGATTAGAGCCCTTATGGTCATATTCGATATGCGATGAAGATGATCTTTAAGTGAACAATGAACACAACAGGGTCAAGGGTATTGAGAAGGGTCAACATTCATGGGAAGGAAAAGTTGCTGGGACCAATGTTTGATGTATGACTGGCTTCTGCCATTTCATATGAATGCCTCTAAATTTAACATTGTGTGCCATCTCTACAATCAATAATAGTCCACAGCAAGAAACTGTATTTAGAGTTAAACTGTAAGAAAACAGAAATTATGGTGATTACCAATAAGAAAAAAATACTAAAATGTAAACTAAATACGCATAAAGGGCAAATTCTTAAGCAAGCCAATAGATATGACATAACATTTGATGAAAGACATTTTTAGAAATGAGAACAAGAATCATCATGGGAAAAAGTGGCCTACAGAAAGATGTAAACTGCAGTTAGAAAAAAAAAAAAAAAAAGAGTGTTAAAAGTGCTATGAGAACCTGTGTTATTATATGCATTTGAGACATGGAGAATAAGCAGACAAGCTGGGGGGAAAAAAACATTTATTTGCGGCAGAGATGTGGTTTTTGAGAAGAATGCAAATATCAAGGATTGATAGACAAACAAATAAAGCAGTTCTCATCGAGACAGACGCAAATCTTAAACTTTTTAGAACAGTTTTATACATACAGCTTTTTGAGCATTTATGAGTAGTAATGACCTTGAAAACTGGTAAGACTGATAGAAAGAGAGCAGGAGGAAGGCCAGAAGGATGGGGTGAGACAAAAACATTAAAATGACTCATGATTGTGGTGATCTTGTGAAATGGTGAAACATGACAGTCTATGCCATGGCTTTTCAACTAAGTTACTGCAGGGGCCAAAATTATGACAATGGGGATTCCGGGCCAGTGGTCTAAGCCCCAGCATAGAAAGATCATTAATATATTACAAGTAGCAGTGATTCGCGAGCCACTTATTATGCTTCAGCAGGCCAAATGTGGCCCACGAACTGCCAGTTGAATAGCACTGGTTACCACCATGGTGCATGATGCTGATGACCCACTGCTGCCTTTGAAAATAATATGTGCTGAGTTCCCAGTTTCTTCAACGGTACTATTCTTGTGCAATGTCCAAATGCTATGTGTACAATTGTGCAGTTCCGTCGTCTTAAAATGCGAGCTTCCGCCGACTTCCGCCACAGCCGAATTGCAAACTTTCAAAAACTTCCATCTCCTGCAGCTTCCTTCATTTTATTTGCTCGTGAGTCCTAGCCATCTAGTTTAGCCCCAATCCACGGCGCGTGAGCGGCGTGGGGGATAGTCTCGGCGGTGGCGAAAGTTGCAGGAAGTTCGCAATTGACACGTGAATGAGGCCCTGTTAGGGTATATTTTCCGCCTAGATAATTTACGACCGTTAATCGTAGGCTAGCCAAAAAACGGGCACATATTATATCGGCCAAAAACACACCCTAACAGGGCCTCAGTCACATGTAAATTGTGGACTTCCGGCGACTACTGCCACCGCCGAGAGTATCTCCCACGCCGCTACGCTACACATAGCATGGAGCGGGGCTAAACTAGATGGCTGGGACTCACGAACTGCAGCTATCGCATCTCCTTCCGATTCCTTCATTTTAATTGCTCGTGAGTCCCAGACATCTAGTTTAGCCACGCGTAGAGTAGTGGCGTGGGAGATACTCTTGGCGGTGGCGGTAGTCGCCGGAAGTTCGCAATTTACATATGACTTAGGCCCTATTAGGGTGTGTTGGCCGCCATAATATGTGCCCGTTATTTCGAGGATAGCCGAAAAATGTCTCCTAATTTGATAAATACTAGAAAAGAGATGCAGCTAAAAGAAGCGAAAGAATTATACAGAAAGCTTACGCAGCTGAGTCAAGAGGGAGATAATATAAGTATGCGCACAAAAAACTTTATGGGTTGGTTTGGAGTTGGATATGGAACTGAACATGATCGCAGATGATAGATGATAAAGACAGTAACAAGTTACATCTGCTTCAGACAAGGATATAAGTTAGCGATACCTCCTGTACTTCCGATATCTGGGTTCAACTTGGCAATGACGATTGATAAAAATATAGCAAGAACAAAATGACTAGTCTTCATGGTGATGCAAAACAGATCCGTGTAAAATACAGAAATGTTGGGAGTGATTACAGTATAGCCATGGTCTCAGGGGACATCACTACCACAGACATTTAGCGGACGGCAACTGGAAACTGGCCGCAACAAAGAATCCCTAACACTTTACTGCTCATTTCTTCAAAAACATAATACGACTGTGTATTTCCTGCAATAAGTAATAAATATTTTTATTTAAAAAAGAAATACCTGTTAAAATTTATTGCAACATCTTGAAAGCGATAGTGAATGGGTTGAGATATCTTTGCGCTGTCGGCACACAGTGATTGTTTACAAAATGGCGAGCGAGGGGAAGGCCAAATCTAACAAGCAGATGACTATCACGTTTACCCTGCCTATTTCTTGTCAAATTTGTTTGGGCAAGGTAACGAACAGCCGTGACTCTATTTCATTACATTTCTACATGCTTCTTTGTCCATCTTTGGTAGCTTTATAATTTTACAAACTTTTTTTACTTTCTCAGGTCCTTTGCATAGGTACTTCAGTCAAATTTTTAAAATGCCCTCTACACCAATAAAACCAGCACAGTTAGATAGCTGTAAACAATCTCTTTCCAATGGTACCTCATTTAGGCTTCTATGTCATTTCTGAGTTGAGATATGTAGGTTTTTGTGGAGATGAGATGTAAGAAACAGCCGCTAAAACTTGTGACCCAGAAACAAGAAGTTTTTTGACTGCGCAACCTACTGCGCAGTTCTGTATCAGCTTTGTTGACATTGGACTGTCATTGGACAAGATGGCAGGCAGTGAGACTCAGCTCACTCAGCCGCATGCGATTGCCTAAAAAATGTCACTGTAAATCTAAACAGCCAGAGTCGGTAAAAAAAATTTAATATGCAAATGTAAAATTGGACGGAGAATTCAACTGTAACTAGCATTACCACAACTGGTAATGTTTAAGGCCTAAAGCCAACCTCGAATTTACCGCTATTTTTTAATCAAACTGATGACTAACAGAAAAACAGAGGAGTCCGGCTGTCGTAGACATGCTCTGTTAATCGGGTTCCCCCACGCTGTTTTCAGCTATTTATAGCTGGTCCAAATTCCCACCAATGGCAAAATTTCATGAGAGATTTGGACCCATACGGAAACCAGCCGAGATTTCCCGAACAAGTTCTGAACGGTTTCCGGGTAACGGAACTTGCCGAAAAGACCGCAAATTGTCGAAACTGTAGTCCCTAACTGATGACTAACAGAAAAACAGAGGAGTCCGGCTGTCGTAGACATGCGCTGTTAATCGGGTTCCCCCACGCTGTTTTCAGCTATTTATAGCTGGTCCAAATTCCTACCAATGGCAAAATTTCATGAGAGATTTGGACCCATACGGAAACCAGCCGAGATTTCCCGAACAAGTTCTGAACGGTTTCCGGGTAACGGAACTTGCCGAAAAGACCGCAAATTGTCGAAACTGTAGTCCCTACTTTGCAGAACAGAACGTCGCTCTCATCACAGTCTGCCTGTAAGAAACTCGGTCTCTTGCCAGTTCTCCCGCCTCATGAACTTTCACACTCAAAGAGTCACTTATATCCTGTGCCCATCTTCATGTTGGTCGGCCTCTGCCCCTCCTTCCTGGTACCATGCCTTCTGCTATAATTTTTTCCTATCCGTCGTGGCGCTTGATATGACCAAAATATTTCAGCTTTCGAGAAAGGATGCTGTTTATTAGCCAATCTTCCTTGATGTTCAGATCTTTTAAGATGTCAATATTTATCATCTTCTTTTAATGCCACACACTAACAGGCTATCCTCCGAATAACGGGCACAAAAGATAGTGACAAAAAACAGGGCCTCAGCCATGTGTCAAATGCGCACTTCCAGCGACCTAATTTGCGGTTTTCTGGCAACTACCGCCACCGCCGAGAGTATCCCCCCTCATGGGGCATAGATTGGGGCTAAACTAGATGGCTGGGACTCACGAGCAGCAGCTTCCGCATCTCTTGCAGCTTTGCTCGTGAGTCCTAGCCATCGGTCTTTGGGTGAAAGGCGCAGATATCGCAGCCTAGCTGTAACCCACAACACAGCGTGGCAACCACCCTTTTAAGGGAAAAAAAAACAATTATCACCCAGCGGGGAATCGAACACCAGTCACCCGCGTGAAGGTTGAAATACTTACAACTATACTACCGAAGACTGAAGAGTTTAGGTCAGATATCGCAGCCTAGCTGTAAACCACAACACAATATGCTAACGGCCCTCTCGAGGGCGAACCAAGATTACCCGTGACATGACCAGTGAGCATCACGTCGCTGCTGTCGCAGGCTAGCTGTAAACCCCAAAACCAAAAAAAGGCCTAGATATTGCAGCCTAGCCATAAACCACAACACAACGTGCCAGCCGCCCAGTTAAAAATTATATAACCTAGCGGGGAATCGAACGCGGGTCAACCGCATGATAGGCAGAATAGTTACAACTGCGCTACCAAACACTCAAGCAGAGTGGAAATGAAATTATATAGTAATGCAAAGTTCAAAACAGAGCTCAGCAGTCAAAAATGGCCAATCAACTAAAAACAAATCCGGGCTGGCAAGGAAACAAATAATGATTTGACCGTTGCTGGAGCTACGTCATTCGTGGTGTGTGCGATTTTCTGACAAAAAATCACGCTTTGAGTCAAAGGCAACATTTTGTGAAATTTTGAAAGCAATCAATTCAGTAGTTTCCGAGTCTATAGTTAACAAACTCAGAAAATTTAAATTTTTATTAATATAGATTTGTCTCCTGCAACAATGCCCAGGGATCTGTGATTCACTTCAGAAACATCTTAAATACCAGGTACTTGTGAAAGGGAACAATGAAGTCTGAAGCCACATCGATAAACTTAAGAATGCTGGGCAACAGGCTTAATCATGGCGATTCAGAGGAAAAGCTAGACATACATATAAATAATCAAACTATTAATGGTACCATTGAAATTTGAACGGAGAGGATGGAGCAAATATAGGAATGTCCTGAGAGCTATGATGTTATTTCTGGACTTTGCTCAACTCACGGAGATTCCCTAATCTCACATAATTTTATGCACGGAATTGTTTATATATATATATATATATATATATATATATATATATATATATATATATATATATATATATATATATATATATATATATATATATTATTAACTTAATATTGAAGTGTTTGGACAGCATACATCGGAATTTTTCAATTTTTATTTTATAAAACATGTATTTAAAATGTTGTCATTACACACTGAAGGATATGCTAAGAGGAACTGCGCCTTCGTGGACTGAATGATTCATTGCGCCATGAGAATGATTGTCAATTGACTTTTAAAAAATATAGTAACTGGCAGCATAATAAACAGAAATAGTAAAAATAGGGGTGACTGCAGTCAAGCTAATAACAAAGAATTAATCCAGTGAACTGTGGCTAAAAACACAAATCGATGTTTCGGCTGGTGGCCTTTCTCGGCATGAACTGAACTACACAACAGTAACCCAGTTATAGTAACCTGCTACTCTGTTTTGTGCAAATTTTTTGGCTTCCTCAATTCATTAAGCCTTATAGTTCACTGGATTAAACAGAAATAGAATGTAACACTTACATTTTACATATTTTGGGCTACCTTATCATGGATGTCACTAGAAATGGCTCATATTGACACACATGTATTTATGCTTACATCCCATGTCTAGTATTGTCACAAACATATGTATGTTTACATCCCATGTTTAGTATTGTTACAAACATATGTATGCTTACATCCTATGTCTGATATTGTCACAAACATATGTATGCTTACATCCCATATTTAGTATTGTTACAAACATATGTATGCTTTCATCCCATGTCTAGTATTGTCACAGACATATGTATGCTTACATCCCATGTCAAGTATTGACACAAACATGTATGCTTACACCCCATGTCAAGTATTATCACAGACATATGTATGCTTACATCCCATGTCAAGTATTGTCACAGACATATGTATGCTTACATCCCATGTCATGTATTGTCACTGACATATGTATGCTTACAGCCCATGTCTAATATTGTCACAAACAAATGTATGTGCAGGTGAAGCAGCCAGTGCTGTGCCCCAATCATCATGTTTTCTGCAGTCTGTGCCTGGAGATTTGGCTCAATAGAAATCAGCAGTGTCCTGCCTGTAGAGTGGACATTGGACCTGATAATCCTGTCAGACATATTATAGGTGACATATTGTCTCTTGTGTTTATCATGTTTTTTTTTTTTTTTCAACATGCCCTAGTCTTCTAGCAACATATAATTAGCACTTCTCTAAATGTCCCAGCTATTGTGCCTTGTGCAATCTTTTGTTTATTCAGTGAATAGTATTATGCCCTTAATTTTTTGTTTAGAAGCCTGCTTAAAATTCCATTTGCAGAGGTAAACACGAGTAATTTAAATGTTTTGAAATGCATTAAGACATCTTCTTCTTCTTTATGTTCTGTAAACTCTTTCACTTCTGGTCTGCAGTCCTGTTCGAGAACCTGAATGTTGTGTGTGCATCTGTTTGACAGATCTGACCCATTTGTGTGCAGACTGTTGGTTCCTTGAGTCTTAGGCAGATGCACTCTGACTTCGAAGTAAGCTCCCAATGAGTCAACTCTTATGAATTGCTTTTTTTGGTAGGCAGTGGGTCTGTTCTTGATTTCCCTATAATAGGGCCCTGGAACCTGCACGGGGAACACACTAAGACATTTTATCACCAATATCAGAGAAAGGGGGCGAGATAGAGAGAGTTGTCATTGCCCAACCTTAATTACACTTGTTCATGATTAGCTGGATTTTGAGGCTAAGTTTTTCCATGATTCAAAGTTGCCATCCTCAGCTTATTGCAGCAAAGCCTTTCATATGTTGAGACAGCATCTAGTTTGAGAGTGGAGATGGAGAATCAGCTGTACCTACATATGGGGATTGTAACTGATTCTGTTAGCATATTGAGCAAGGAGTGGCAAGCATCATTTCAGAAGCCGTAGGTAGTTAACTCCCATTGGATATTTTTTTTTTGTCAGTGTGTTGGGAAATGAACAGTCATATATTTTAGCTGGCTGCACCACTTGGTGATAAATTGATACATGACAAGCTGGATGTTGTAAGGGCTGTTTAGGACATTGCAGAAGCACAAATAGATCATCCTGGTCTGAAGAAAAAAGTGCAATGAGGACTTACCAGGGGATCTGACCAGTGCTGAACACTCAGGGAAGGATTGAAACAGACATATAGTCAGACTGTTACTGGTACCATCAGAATTGGAACTTTTACACTTGCAGCTGAAGATAGGGACGGAGCGCTTATAGGAATTTCCTGAGTGCTATGATGTCAGTTCTTTGCTCATAACTTCCAGCCTCATACCACTCCATCATCATTATGTAGCAGGTGCTTTACAGAAAGACACTCCTATCACTCAAATCACTTGATGCAGCTAAAGTATTTCTTTCTGAGCCAGTGTGCTATTTTCGAGCCAATTTTTCTTGATATTTACATCTTTTAGGATGTCAGTATTCCATTTTTCTGTTTGGTCTATGGTATACTGAGAATGTTTCTGAAGCACTTAAGCTCTGCTGCCACTATTTTCTTCTTTAATGATTGCAGAATAGTCTATGACCATCACTCATATGTCATAGGAACTCACCTTAGTTATTTCTTGTGACTTGCATGTTAGACTACCATGTTACCATGTTTTTTGTCTCTTGTGAAACTGGGAACTAAGTGTCAGTAGTAGTAATCAGTGTCTCATTTTATCAGCAAGGATTTCAAAGCACAACAGGAGGGTCTGAAACGTGGGGCCATGACCTTGGTAGGCGCATCCCTGGGGAGCGTTTGAAAGGCATATCAAAGTAAAACTTCTCTGGAGGCTGGAAGATTTCTGTTGATTTTTTGCTCCTTCAGGAATACTTTGTACTCTTTTAATCTTTGATTTTAATATATATATACTGTTCTATCATGGTAACTCTTTAAGTCCCAGGGGGGTTAGGATCAGAGGCCCAAGGGGTAATCAAGAGAGACATAAAATTGTTCATTGGGCTTTCAGGTGGGAACCTATGAAAGTATGACAAGTTCCTTGGGACTCAAAGAGTTAAGTGTATTGATTAATAACAGCTGCTTTTTAGAGTACATCCCTTGTTGACTTTGCCTGTTCATCTTCTCCAGGTAATCAGCTAGAAGAGGAGATTTCAGAGACTAGAAGCACACCTGAGTTTAGACGTGCCAGATTTGATCTCTTGTACAGAGAGTATGAAGATGAGCTGGAGAAGTTGCAGAAGGACAATGTCATTCTGAAAATGCAGAACAGTATTCTCACCAGTCAGCTCCAGGATGCAGAGCACAAGAATATGGTTTCCGAAGACAAGAGGGGCTCGATTTCAAGTGCTTCACCTCAAACACCTGATGGTCTTAGGCTACTCCAGATTAGCAGGAACTTGCAGGAGGTGCAGAAACTCTACCAAGGCATCAGAGTTGAAATGGCTGAGCTGAAACAGGTGAGTATTGACTACTTATGCTTGTACAAGCTGGTTTTCTTCTGTCTGGTTTTCTTAGTACACTAGCTATATCTTGTCTTTGTGAATTGCTTTTCTAAAACTTACGTACTTAATGACAGCAAAATCACTATCACCTGTGGTCTATGCTAGAGGTGTAATGAGCTCCTGTGGTACATCATCATCTTCATCATCAAGGGCCTTGCCAACTGGCCTGGGTAATTGTGCCTTTCCACAACCTGTGATCTTCAGTAGCATGTGTTCTTGTGCTGAAACTCCTCCATGCCATGATAGGAAGCTATCAAGAATCTTCTCATATTGTCTTCCTCTGATTTTTTTCCCCCGGATCTTTCCAGTGGTCACAGCGTATTCCAGTTTCTTTATTTTCATAACATGACCAAAAACGATGACTGCCTATTTCTGTTTGTGATTAGTTGTCTTTAGGCTCCCACCTCTTTCAAAACATCTCAGTTTTTTTTTTCTGCAAGAAATTTTTAAGTTTTCTGTAAAGCCTAATTTCTAAGACCTCAAACAATCATTTAGCTTTTTATAAATTGTCCGGTATTTACAGTCACATGTTAAAGTGGGCTGTATATTCCCTATGGTACATTCTTTCTAAGTCCATAGCCAGCTTAATTAGGTCATAACTGTTCAACTTCATAATCTGTGTCTCCCTGTTCACAGTTTAGTTATTCATGACTGCTGTCTCTCTCTCTCTCTCCCTCTCCCTCTCTCTGATGCTTTTACCACTTTCTCCCCCTCCCTCTCTCTGATGCTTTTACCACTTTCTCCCCCTCCCTCTCTCTGATGCTTTTAACACCTACCTTATTCCATTTCTTTCTTCTTCTTTGTCACTGCAGCTAACATTGCGATAAAAACACACATCTATGTTTCTTCTGTATTTCTTCTTCTGTGTTCACCCAAAAATGTGAGTGGGTTGCGCACGTTTCCAGCATGGCGGCAATGTGTGCGCCTTTTGGCAGACAAATCTCATTTCTGCAAGCATGTTCACCTGGTTAGTATTCCCATTTTCTTCGATTAATCCATACTAAGTCACCTTTATTCAAGTAATTTATTTAAGTTCCTTTGAAATACAACCTCCTCTGTACACATTACTTTACTTTATGAAGCGGCAGTCTGAATCAATTTTGTGCTTGTTTTTTTTTTTCATTCAAAGTAATTTTTAGAATTTTTTCCTTGATACTTATTCTTTTCTGATTTCCTCACCAGAGTTTAAACACAAATATATTTACTTCTTCATATTGATGATGCTTGACTGATAAATTATTTCCTAAAATGTATGTTAAAATAATTTTCAATATTAATTATTTCCTAAAATGTAACATAAAATAATGTTCCATATTAATTTGTTTTACTCACACAGGAAAATTGCAGATTAAAAGAAGAGAGTGTGAACTTGACGAGGGAAAATGAGAACCTTCGTTTAGAGATTGCTCAGAGGTCACCCAAAAAGTAAGTCACAAGAGATGTGGCTTTAGAAATGTTGATTAAAATAACAATTTTATGGAGGTTTCAACATCCTGAACTGACATTTGTGTGGCTGTGAATATAGATCAGGCCATTAATTTTGTAAAATTTTTAGAAATTTTTTTAAGAATAGTAAAATCTACTGCATGCATGAATCAGTGGTTCAGGAGAAGACAGATATAAGAGATGTGTGCCAGTACGCAAGCTGCTCACAAGTAACATCGCAAATTACCAGAGTAGGCTCAAAATCAGCAATAACAGTTTACTGTACGCTGTTTTACCACAATTTCAGCAGTCCATTACCGACTTGCTTATGACAGTGGTAAGCTATCCACTGTGTACTGCCCTGCCACAGCGGTAAAACTATTCCACTCTGCATTATCTTACCACAGTAATAAACTACTCCACTTTCTACTATCTTGCCACAGCTGCAAGATAAATATATACAATGCAGCTGCAGTTTAGCCAATCAAATATTATTATTCAGACTGTTTCTTCTTCACCATTCCGAACCTTTGAAGTTCATTGCTGCAGATATTATCCTGCAAAATTCATCTCTGTGACTAGCCTTCTCTTTCCTGATGGTAACTCTCTCTCCACTATTTTCTTGGTCTGCCTCATGATCTAGTCCCTTCCAACTCTTAGTTATCTCCCATTCTCCCCAAATTCCTCAGCCATTGCAGTCTTTTAGCACTCTTGATGCCAGTAGTAAGTGAGAATTTCAACAGATTATGAATATTATTGTTGTTTCTGTATTCTTCATTAACAGCCACACTCTAGCTCATTTTGCACTAATATTTAGCTACTACCATAAATTAGCTCAACGTATACAACTAGTCTAGCTACCAACATACTACCTACTAGTATTGCTACAAACTAAGCCATTTCTCAAAACAAATGTACTGCCTTTATTGACTATTTTCTTCTGCTTCTTCTTCTTCACATTCACCGGCTGTAAACTCTGGCAGAACATCCTGGTTATCTGTCCACTTCTGGACTTTTTTGTTCCAGGACGAATGTTGCCTGCATATTCATTTTACAGATCTGGCTTGCTAGCTAAGCTCGATAAACCAGCTGCACAGCGACCGGGTGACAAACTCTGCTCAGGGTAGGCAGAAAAGCCACATATTTCCCAGATTTATGGTATCTATCATGGATAGAATGCGCAGGGGTGTAAACTGGCTCTCTGGCAACGGAGAGTCGTCTGAGGACCGGGCTGTTTCCCCCTAACTCAGTATAATCAACTTAGCGCAAAAGCTACTTGTAACAGAATATGCCCTCTGGGTTCTCCGAAATAGAGGGCAAATGAAGGACCCATTTCTATTTATGCCAATAATAACAACCCGCCAGTTCCCGGATCAGGATTTCTTCCCAACGACCGGGCTGGATGTATAAATGTGGAAGAAGGTTCACTGGGAAGCATGGTCTGAAAACGCATGCCAGATGAATGAATGCAAAGGTGCGCCATGTAGTAAGCACCGGCGCAAAGCTACTTCTGTAGTTAATAAGTCGTTAGGAAAAGACGGGCAAGGTGAAACCCACTCATCCGGAGAGACCCATGACGTCTATCACGGAGGCGCACTTTTGCTGATCTCTGATAAAGTGCGGACGAAGATCAAGTTTCCACACGCAAGTGATAAGGTGACTTGGTGCAAGCTGGAAGATACTCTATGTGAGATTGTTAATGGTGAACTTAAGAAAAAGTCGCTGTGTTTGGCGACATAATTCACACTCACTGTGCCCGCGAGTTCAGGACAGTCGAAAAGACTCAGCCTGCCATGAAAAAATCTGAAGGCAGAGAGATATTGAAAAGTGCCAAACAGACAAAAGTGCACTCAGAAAATAATTCAAAGCTACAACGCGCAGCGAACGGGAGGGACTGTACGAGGTTTGGTTGCACCTGAAGACCTGACACAGTGCCCTCTGTCTTATTGAGCGTTTTTGTAAGATCAGACGAGTACCGAAAGGGAATGAGAAAAGTTCTTTAGGGGCCTGTTCCAATTTGCCCGAGGTCTGTTCGAGCAACCAAAGTCTGGGACTCTGGTGTTCAATAAAGAGGAACTGGAGTCACATCTACTGAACATGTACTCTGACAGGACAAGAAATGAACCTCTCGATGACAACCCAGAGACCTGAAGTGGCCTGAGTTGCTGAAAGCAAAATTTAAAATCATGCCTCCCTCTTGGTGAGAGGTTGAAGAAGTTGTGAAAAGACCCAGTGGCAAATCTGCCCGAGGACACAACAGTGTCTTGTACATGGTGTACAAACACTGTCCGAAAGTTCTTTGAATACTTCATTGCTTGCTAAGGATAGGGGAGTTGAAAGTACATATGTATTGAGTGGCAGAAAGCCAACGGAGTCTACATTCCCGAAAAACGAGACTCCTCTAATTTATCCCAATTCAGACCTGTCTCTCTGTTGAACGATGTGGGCAAGATATTCTTCTTGGTTATGGCACGCAGACACATTATTTGATGGAGAATAAATTAAATACATTGACACAATGGTGCAAAAAGGTGGCCTCCCCGGGTGTCTTTAGCATTTATAGGTGATATGGCTATCATCACAGGCTGTGAAGATCATGCCGTGTTATTATAGAAAGGCTGAATTTCCTGGTTGAATGGTGCAGCATGCAGCAAGCCAAAGAAGTCCAGAATCTGTCTATCCAGAAAGATAAGGTGGCAGCAACCAGTTTCACAGTGGCAAGGAACCAGTGAAGAGCCTTGGACATGTCAACGATTTGAAGTTATCAGCTAGAGCGGAAGTCTGGTGTATACATGAGTCACTGGCAACAGGCCTGCTTTCTGTCGAGCAGTGCAGGCTGATTGGGAAGTTCAAGGTTAAGTTTCTCCAGTTCATGTTGATTCTCAAACTTCTCTGGCCCCTGCCTGTGTACGAGGTAAGCATGACTGCAGTGGAGACGATGGAGAAAAAACCAACACTGCCATGTGGAAGTGGCTTGGAGCACTACCTTGTCTGACCGATGTGGCTTCATATTGTGAGCAGGCTGAGGTGGTACTTCCGTTCAAATCAGTAGCTGAAGTGTTTAAAGTCAGCAAAGTAAAAACTCAGGATGATGCTGCGTGAGTCTTCAGATCCCACAGTGGTAACTATCCAGCCCGCTCTAAAGACAGGTACGAAATGGAAGGTCCAAGATGCGATAGAATCTGCTCAGAAGGCACTGAAATTGAAGGAAGTCATTGATTACACATAAATCTACTGACGCTGCCTGGGTCATGGAAAAGTCACTAGGTGGTCCAAAGCCTCGGCCAAAGAACCAGAGATAAGGTAATATAGCAGATAAGGGACACCAAAATTGAGGCTTGGGTCCAAAGAGCAGCCCAACAGTCACAGCAAGGCTAGGGGATTGGCCACGAGAGTGCCTTGCCACAAATACTCACATGGGGTGAGATCTGGTGAATGGCCCCCTGAGGCTGAGCTTTGTCATAAGATCTGCCTATGATGTGTTGCCCTCTGGTGCAGACATGGCCACCGCCGACCCGACATGTCCTCTATGCAGAGTGAAGCAGGCGCTCGAACACGTATTGCCCGCATGCAGAAAAGCCCTAGGCCAGGGACGATATACAAGGCGCCATAATAAAGTCGTGAAATAGTTAGCTGACATTGTGTATCAAGCCAGTATGAGGGCCAATGCAAGGGCCAGTCTCACCACCCCCCCCCCCCCCCTTTTTTTTTTGCGCTTCTTTAAGGCTGGGCTGATCTCTAAAGCTAAAGTCAACAACGTTGATTATGCTCCATCAATACTTGACTGTGCAAGGGACTGGTTACTGGTAGTCAACCTGCCTGGTTTCGAAAAGTACTCAGAATCAGTCCGAAAGACTGGCCTGAGACCAGACATGGTCCTTCACTCTGTGGAAAAACGCCAGCTTATCCTAATAGAGCTGACCTTATCGTATGAGTCCTAGATGGAAGAAACTCACCCGTACAAGCTCGAAAAATACGGTGATCTGATGACCGGTCTATGGTGAGATGGGGCATACACAGTAAAAAAATCTTTGCCATTGAGGTAGGTGCAAGAGAACTTATCTCCATTTCCACATACCATGTACTAAAGTACCTGAGCTTGCTAGGAAAAGATCATAAAAGGTCGCTAAAACAACTCTGCGACGCAGCTGAAAGAGCTTTGAGCTGGCTGTGGACACAACGGAACATTGTGGGGGATGAGCCTCGGTAGACTGGTCTGAGTCCCTAGTGGAGAAGAGCTTTACATCCCTAAAAGCCAAAGTGTCCAGTAAAGGTCTACCAGTGCCTCTCTGCCAATCGCCAAATTCTTACAACTGTTCGATGAACCAACCGTAACCTTGTCACTCTGGTCATGAAGGTAGTCGGCTAATTTGCTACCGCAGCTACAATATATTAAACCAAATCTCACAATACCTGTTACAAAGTTGCCATTTTGTCTTGTCCCAGTCCAGATGTCCGATAAAGTGCAGCAGGGAATGTTCAAGACTTGGCGTCATTAACCAGGTCGGCCCACCTTCTGAGATTGTGTAGGAAGATAATGGGCTGAAATAATCATCGACGAGGGACCTTTTTACTGAGGATTACCCAATCTCTGTTGGTTAGGTTGGCAGCTTTTCTCAGGAATCTCATTTCGCAAGTGCTGATTTTTCATACATCATCGGCTTTAGATAGTGTCTATGTTTGCCGCTGGTATTAATGTATTGTGTTTAACCTTTAGAATAATAGAGTGAGAATTGTTGTGTTTCATACTCTTAAATAATGTATACCCAATTTCTCTTCCTTTAGATTCGGCAGGTACACAGTTGCAACCCTAGAGACAAAGCTTGCAGAGCAAGAGAAAGAAATTCGGCAGCTAAAGAAGGCATTAGAGCGAAGTGATGCTTACATTGAGGAGCTGCAGCAGCAAGACAGACGTGGGCTGCCCAGATATGACACAGACACTCCAGGAGGCAAGGCCAGGTTCCACATTAATCTAGAACCAAAAGGATTAGAAGCAGGGGCTCATAGTTCTACAGATGGTGGCGGGCCACGCAAAGTTCTCTTTGGCAAAGTGATTCCTGAAGAAGCAGTTAAACCAGACACTAAAGCTAATGTGTTTTCTACATTAGGGTCTGATAAATCATCTCAGAAGTACCACAGGAGCCTAGTATTCAGCAAGAATTGTGAGAACTTAGCGGGGGGTGAGTTTGATTCCCTTCATCTTCAGAAAAGTGCTGATGTTAGAAATGTACCTGAGACATCTAGTCATTCTGAAGCTGCTTATAAAAAATCACATGATCTTGAAGAATCTATTCAAGTTTCAAGTCAAGCATCTCTACAGAGTCAGCCTGATTTTGAAGAGACAGCCAAAGGAATCATCCCAGATAAAACTATGAAAAAGGTTCATTTCAAAGATTCTGAAAAGGCTAGTGATACTGCATCCTTTGACCTGGAGGTACCCAGTCCTATTTCTTCATTAATTAGTGAGTCATATTCATCATTCAGCAAGGATTTATCATCCCCAGGGCAAAAGTTGTCTCTGGAGGCTAAACCTTTTTCAGGGTACCACTGTCAAGTTAAATTGGAAGCTCTGGAAGGAGAAGAGGAATATGGCAGAAGCTCTGCTGACAATAATGTTCTCTCTTCAAGAGATCAGAAGGCTTTTAAAAAACCAAAACCAACATTAAGGAAAAATCGGAAAATTCCTGTTGCTAAAAAGATAAAACAGGAACCAGTGGAGGAATCAATGGAAGACAGCAGCCATTTGAGTGTCCCAGATATAACTCCAACAGACACAGTAGATAATGTGAGCCACATTGCTGATTATACAGAAACCAGCGATGACTTTGACATGTCCATGACCCCAGAAATGACAGACTGTCTTAGACTGTTTGACCAGGCAGAGAAGAAAGTCTCCTCCATGGCTAGCACTTCTAGTGGAATTGTTCCAAAACCAGATTCTGTAGTAACCCATGCCCACCAGACTCCATGGTCATCTGGTCCTCCAAACAGCTCAGCATTCATTCTGCAGTCATCATCGGGAAGTTTTCCCCCAGCAAATATCAATAGTGGGCACAGATTTGCTTCAACAGGCAACAACATCAGGGGCTGGCAGCAGCAGTTTTACAACGCACTCAAAGTTAACCCTGACAGAGTCGGCACTGTCTACCATCCTCCAGATGTTGCATTTGGGTCAAGTCACTATCCTCGTAGCAATGACCATCTGGAATCTGGAAACAAAAGTAAAATGAATTCTTTCATGAACAATAACCCCTCCAAGAATGCAGCCAGCGCTAAGGATTTTACATTTAGTGAACCTCTTAGAGTGACCGCACCGTTCCTTGACCTCCCAGATAGTGCCACAGGCAGAAAACAGTCCAGTCTGACCAACCCATTCACCTCAGGCCTAAGCTTCCCAGGCCCATCCACTTCCTCCTCTACATTTCCGTCTTCTTTCACTTTCATGACTCCGCCTGACATTCGTAAAGACAGCTATCATCATTCCTCATCAACATTATCCTTGGTTGCACCCTCAGCTTTTTCACACACAAACTCATATGTTACTCACACTGGAAGACAAACCGGATTATAGGCTCCTTCTTTTTTCAGCATCATCGAACCCCAGACATCTCTGACACTAGGCTACCTTTACATCTGTAGAGATGAAAATGTATGTACAGAAATGGTTGGTTGGTTGGAAATCCTTTGCATGATTGAACTAACGAATGTCAATGGTTAACTCATTAAGTCCTGAAAAGATTATCAAGAGTCGGAGTCCATAAAATGGTACAAAAGTGTAATTTGTATAAGGATTGTGTTGCTAAATTATGTTACCCCTCTGCAGGCAGTAGGAAGGGTGGTCTCAAACTTGACATCTAAGAAGGGGCATGACAATCCCTGCAATGTTACCCAGACAGGGAAACCCATTTTATGGATAGGCCACACCAAGAAGAGATTATTCAAAACCATGATCAGTGGGAAACCTGTTCCTAGCTTGTACACACAGTTATAAACATTCAGCCTTACCTGTACAGGGATACATTCAGAATGAAAACTGCAGGTATGAATCAAAAACTGAAGTGTAAAGGGATATACATACATAGAGAACATCATTAATCCTTTGGCGCCATGAATACAAAGGGTTATGAACTATGGGAATTCCCTGAAAAAATCCTTTAAGAACTGATTTACATAATTTAACTGTTTTTTTATATTTTTTTTTAATTTTATACAATCAGTAATCAATCAACCTGAACAGAGTGTAAGAATCAATTGACATAATTTAACTGTTTGTTGTTTTTTTTTTTAAATTTATTATTAAACTATGAGTAAAAGATCTGAACATCAAGGAAGATTGGCTAATAAACAGCATCCTGTCTTGGAAGCTGAAATATTTTGATCAAATCAAGCGCCACGACGGATTGGAAAAAATTATAGCAAAAGACATGGTACCAGGAAAGAGGGGCAGGGGCCGACCAACACAAAGATGGGCACAGGATAAAAGTGACTCCTTGAGTTTGAAAGTGCATGAGGCAGGAGAGCTGGTGAGAGTTTTTTTCAGGCAGACTGTGATGAGAGTGACATTTTGCAAAGGACCTGCTACATGAAGATGAGTCATATCCTGCCCAGGTCTACAAACAACTGGTGCAATTTAACTATGTTTTCTGAAAACAGGTCACTGCAGACGGGTCGATATTTCAGCATTCGCTATACTTTCTTAACCAGAAATTACTAGATTTAGTCATCTTCAGATGACAGGCTTAAGTGTACACTTACATTGTTTGTTCATCTATCACAAGTGATGAGGACCACTCCTTTTTTTCATCCGTCATGAAACTGCAGTTGAATGTTTGTGAGTCCAGAGGTGACTTATATGTACAGCACGTGCCCAAAAGAGTCTAGGACAATGAATGCAGGGCACAGTGTATGTAGACAAAAGACCTGATAGACGGTTTTTTTCTGGCCTGTCTTCACTGTTCAGCTGCCCATGTTATAGATGCCTCGAAGATCGTTGAAACCATTGCGGATATATGTGCGCCACAAAGTCCAGTCTTGTTCTGCAGCTGTGTCAGGGTTTATACTGAAGGCTTTCAGTGATGCCTTTAGTGTGTCCTTGAAGCGCTTTTTCTGGCCCCCATGAGAATGTCGACCTTCACGTATCTCACCATAGAAGATTATTTTTGTGAGCCAGTGGTCAGGCATTCAAACAATATGACTAGCCTATTGAATCTGTGACTGCATCAGGATGGTATTGATGCTGGGAATGCCAGTACGACAGTGTCCGGGACCATGTCTTGCCACCTTATGTTCATTATCTTTCTCAGACAAACTGCATGGAAGTGATTTTTTTTTTGACCTGACGTCTGTATACAGTTTAAGTTTCATAGGCATACAGCAGCACTGGAAGCACTGCAGCTCTGTATACCTTCAGTTTGGTTTGCAGACTGATGCCGCTATGATGTGTATAACCTGCCAAATGTGCAGCTGGCTTTTGAGATCCTGGTGCTCACCTCATCATTGGCGGTGACATTCTGAGACAATGTACTACTGAGGTTTCTGAATCTATCCACAACCTTTAATTTCTTTCTATTTACCAGAATGGTTGTTTCAGTATACACAGATTGAAAAGTTTTCCATTGATGTGATAATAAATATAAATTCCTTTATCTCGATCTCAAAAAGTGTCAAACAGTACAGCTGAGAACATAACTGAATAGAGTAGGTGCGAGTACACATCCTTGTTTGATACCATTTGTAACATGGAAAGTCTCAGAAAATTCAGCAGGATTCAAAGAAGAAGAAAACTCCAAAATGTGACAGAAATAGAAGGGGAAGTGCTTAACCATGTCAATGAATTCAAGTATTTAGGAACTTTCTCATAACATCAGGTGGATGATGTGTGACAGAAATTAAGAGCAGAATTGACCAGGCAAAGGCAGCTTTTCAGAAGATGAAAAGTATTTTATGTAATAAATCACTCGCATTAAACATGAGAAAACGGGTATTGAAATGTTATATTGAGCCTGTTCTGTTGTATGGAAGTGAATCTTGGAATGTGAGCAAACAAATTAGGAAGAGTTTAGAGGCTAGTGAGATGTGGTTCTTGAGAAGAATGTTGAGAATACCTTGGACTGCCAAAATAATTAACACTGAATACCTGGAAAGGGCTAATGAAATTAGAACATTATATACAACAATGAGAAAGAGACTAAAGTTCTTTGGTCATGTAATGAAAGAAAGGAGCTTGGACTGCCAAATATATATCATCAGTAAAACTAATCCTGAACGCCATAGACCAAGATATGTGGCGACACATTAACTCCTATGCCAGCTGGCAAGGCCCTTGATGCTGATTATTTATTAGTGAACAAACCTGCGATAAAAGTTGCACATGCAGTGTAATACTTAACGAATTGTTTGTTTATAACATTATTAGTTGTTAAATCTGAAAAATTATATTTCTTTGAAATTAAACATTTACCATTCTGTTTGTCCTATGTGTTCTTCTTCTTAGCGTTCACTGTCTGTAAACTCCAGCAAAAAGTTATGGTTGTTCATCCATTTCTGGTCTTTAGTCTTCGTACAGAACTTAAATTTTGGGCACATCCATTTTACAGATTTGGCCTATTTGTATGCAGACTGTTGGTTTCTTCCAACTCGGGCAGATGCATTCCAACTTTAAAGGAAAAAATCCCTAGTTAGCTGCCTTTTACAACATGCTACATCCCCCTTTGAAAAGGGGGAGGGGGGGGGGAGTAAACAAACACGGGATGTTCTGTGTTTGTATTTGCATGAATATTTAAATACTTCTGGGTGCACAGCCGTCGTCATCGATCATCCTTTCACTTTAACTTTGCTATTGAGTGGTAAGCGGATCGGAAAGTCGTGGGTTCACTCCCTGGCGGAGCCGAACGTTTTTCAAAAATGACCTCGTCTCCCAGGTCGATCCAGCCTTGAGTGGGTACCGGGTTCAGTCCCGGGAAGTAAAGACGACCGGCGTGATGCTGACCACATCACCATCTTGTGCCGATTGGTGTATAAAAATTTAGGTCTAGCCCTACATTCCGTATACGCCCAAAGGCGAGGAAAATGGTCCTTTACTTTTTTTTTTTATTATTGAGTGGTAAATTGTGGGCTTCAGATAATTCATTCAGTTACCTTTGTCAAGTGCTTTGTGTGAGCAGTCGTGCTTGTCACGATCTTGTGAAATGATCAGATCAGATACTTCCAGTGTTGAGACTCTCAACCTGATGACAGTTGAGCAGTAGTAGGGTGTCAGTGTTAGACAACTACAACACCAAGAAGTGCTAAATATAGTGTAACATGTGACTCCAAAGTTCAGGGGGGGGGGGGGGGGGGGGGGGGGGGGGTGGGGGGGTGGAAAAGACTGTAACAAATGGAACCGAACGTTTCGACCAGTCTTTATCATTGGAATATTACATTTTTTTTTGGGGGGGGGGGGGGGGGGGGACAGATAATGAAGTTTATTTCTCAAAAATGATACACCATAGCTTGATGTAATACAACCGCTGATTACTTCTTCTCCTTGTCAAAACCGACTTTGGTCTTGGCAGTCCTCTAACTTTCTTTTGCCTGTTCTTTCTTTCTTTCCTCTGTTTTCTGCCTGTTCTCTTGATTTCTAGCAATCCATGTCTCGCCAGTCTGTATTTAGGCTCAAACTTCTTGGCCTTGTCCAAGGTGTCATAAATCAATGCAAATCCAGTAGTTTTACCACCTCCAAAATGTGTCCTGAACCCAAAGCAAAAGACAACATCAGCGGTGACTTTGTACAAGTTGGCGAGCTTTTCCCTGATTTCTGTCTTAGGGAGAGTGGCCCTGCCAGGGTGAAGTACATCAACCACCATCTGCCTCCTGCTAAGCAGCCTGTTAATACAGCATGAACGGTGACTGGAAAACTAAAACGGACAAGATAATAGAGCTTCTAAAAAATTATGGTCAACATGAAACCAAGAAGTATTTAATGGGTTTAAAATACGAATATTAATGGCTAAACATCTAATACAAAACAAGATAAGTAGGTAAAAAGAGGGCGAGAAATGTGAATAATTTAAATAAATGAACAAGTTAATCTTCTTTACATCCTGTTTTACCGCTTCTGTGTCAAGGGAGATACAAGGACTTACTTCGTGCTATTCTGGCTGCTTCGACCATAGACTCAGCGTAGTGCTGTTGAGTTTCTCTGATGTTATCTTCCCATCTTGTTCTTGGCCTATCCCTTGCTCTACGTCCCTCTCCTCTTTTGGTGTATTGCATAGCATCAGAAGGAATTCTCTCCAAGTAAGCAAACCGTTTGATTTAGTGTCTTTGTATGTAATTTAGAATTGGTTCTGTGCCGACTTGATCTCGTATGACCTAATTCCTGATTTTATCTCTTCTGGTCATACCTAATCTTTCTGAGACATCTCATTTCGATGATCACTAATTTTCTTTTATTTTGTGTTGTGATTGGCAACGTCTGGCAATGATAGCATAGGGTGTGAATGAATATGCTCTGTATTAGATGTTTTTGTCTTTGTGCTGATTGGGATTGCCTTATGCTGAAAAAAATGGGGGGGGGGGCGGGCGGGGGGGGGGGGCGGGGGGGGGGGGGGGCAGACAAACCACCAGCAGCAAGTTCATTGAGAAGCAGACTATCAAATGGTTCTGTCTTACAGTTAGAACGCAGTCAGAACAACCACCAAAGCAGGCACTACACTTGAAAAGATCTGAAGAGAAATCCAGTATCCGCTATAGGGGAAAATGGATTTAGGACATTATGGTTTATACAAAGGATCAACATCATGGCACAAGGGTAGTAACACATAAGTGCTCCGTTCTACTTCCAACTTAAGACTGAGCCTGAAGGTTTTTAGCACAGTGCACGAACTCCATAGCACTGAAGGAGCATCCTTAAATATTTTGGGTAGATTTTAAACTCAAAATTTTGCCTGAGCAGCACCGTTAAGCTACTCTTTTTGACTTCCAACTGCTAAGAGATTTCTTTTTAAGTACGCAACAATACACACGGTGGTCCAATCTTAATACCTAGGGACCCGGGGAGATAAATTACTAGACGACTTCGTGAAAAAATCCCAGCCTTCACCTAGGCCTGAACCCGGGACCTCCAGTACTCGAAACGGACGTCATACCTCGAAACCACTCAGCCCCCTTTTATGACATTAAAGAACTTCTACATCGACAATATCTATTGCTACCCCATCAAGCATTGGATCAAAAAGGGTTCCTTCCCACAAACGCTTAACGGCAAAAGTGGTACTTGATGATAACACCGATCTTCTGACATAATCACTATTTAATCAGTCTTCCTCCCCTTTATACTGCTGCATCCATACGTTCTGCCACAAAGATATATATTTGTATTTTTTTTTATTTTTTGCTCAGCACCCTAAAAATTTTATAAGAGTGGTCAAAGGGATTTATGCCTTGTTTCAGTGCGCAGTAACATTAATATAGATTATTATATTATTATTAAGTGCTGAATGGCAAAAAAAATGTAATTGAAATAATATGAAATGTGGAAATGAAAACAGTTTGTTGTGCATCCTTTTCTGAACGTTGCAGTACCAACACCAGTATTTTGGGGCTGTTTGTGATGTTACTTCAGTAGTTTGCCATTGCTTACTTAAAAGTCGACTCTCGATGCCAGTGTCAAAAACAATTGAAGTTAGTCTTCTGGTAGATAGCTCGCAGCTGGGATCGCACGCAGCATTTTGGGGTTATGAAGTGTGTTCATACACGACCGGCTCCAGCTGACGGGCCGTGCTGCTGACATCACCAGGTCGGGCTAACGATGCGTTAAAGCAGCGGTTCTCGAACTGGTTGTCGAGGCACGCTGGGGTGCCATGAGCGTTTGCCAGTGGTAACACGGCAATAATCAAGAAATCTCGGCTAAAAATTGTGAAATTATTAAAGAAGGCATATGAATACCTTCAAGTTAGAATTTAAGTAGCCTTCCCTCGCCATGGTCGGAAATAGTTTATTTCTTGTTGGAGAACTGACGCGTTAACGCATCGCTTGCCCGACCCGGTGACGTCAGCAGCACGGCCCGTCAGCTGGAGCCGGTCATGGTTCGTAATTCCCAGTTCACAGACAAAAACACTTAAAAAGAGAACGTTTATGCAATTAGGTAGATCTTTTAGCTCTCTTGCCAGTTTTCTAGGGACTGGGTGTGTATTACCACGCCCTGTGCAGAGTTCCGAGCATCGCTTCAGAGGTCCCGGGTAGTTAGCGTCCTTTGAATATGTTCTCCAGATATGCCGTTGTCTTATGAAACGAGCAGGCAGATAGACTGGCCTGTTCTGCACCACTTGGTGGTAAACTGATGTATGACAAGCTTGATAATGTCAGGACCCTTAGGGAGCGAGTGAACAGTGAGGAGGCACAAATAGATTATTACGGTCTGAGGAGAATGGCGCTGCGAGGTGTTACCAGGGGATCTGGCTGCACTCAACACTCAAGGGAAAGGCGACACGGATGTACAATCAGACAGTTACTGGTGCCATAGGAATGGGAACTCTTCGCTTGCTGCTAAAGATGGGGGCGGAGAGCGAATGGGTGTGCCCCAAGTGGTGTGGTGTCGATTCTTAATACAACATTCCCATGCTAGATCGTCATATCCAGCAACCAGCAAAGAGTTACGACGGTACCATTAGCAGTTTTATTATCGGTCTATTTTGCATTTGCTCCGAGTCTAGAGTCTCGGGCACATTCCCTGGTTTCTCCGAGCTATACCATTATACTCATACATCAATTATTTATTCGCACAACTACAGAATGTTGACCTAACTTGTATGTCATGCATCAAGTCACCACCTAGTGGTGCCGTATCAACCAATCTGCATGCCTGTTAATTTACCAACACACAAGCGTTTTCTGGAGAAAACATCCATCGAACGGTAAACACGAGGGACGGAGGCGATGCTAGCCACTCTGAACGAAGCACGCCTCTTAATGGTCTTCCCTTGCTTTTTCTGCCCATCTAACCTTTATGCTGTGACAACGCATTTAAGTTTTCCTTTAATAAAACGTGCCCACAGAGTATGCATTACGGATTCGAACAGATGAGCACGAGGTAGGCATGTTGCCTACAGACAGCACTACAAGAACTCCTCCTATCCACAGATATGCAAGAACTCTGTAATAAATTATAAGCATGAGAAATCAATAAACGACGTCATGTACCATCAGCAGGTCGACTTCCGGGGTTGGGCTGGCGCATATTTTATCTTGATGATCTGATCTAGCTGATGGTAAGTTCTTCGTTTTTATGTCCACAACCACAGATATCCTCAGTTTTCCTGATTTTTGCGAGTCTGTTTGTAATAATAATTCAAAACCGCCTCTTGATGGTATCATGTCTTCGCGTTAAACATGAATTTCCATACATCCTTTTTGTGGTTGGATCTAGTATCTAGTCATTGATTTCTGCTAATTATTTATTATGATAGAATGGAACCATCGATCACTAACGCTATTTGAGGAATGTTATCTCACTTTTTGCGTTGGAGCAGATTCTCAGCTATCAGTTTTAGTTTGAGAACACAAGATATATAGGTTGCCTAAATAGTTGCAGTTTTACAGTAATAGAGTACTAGCTAAGTAAGTACTACTGTATTAGTATTGTGCTAGTACTACACTAAGTAGTACATAATCAATGTATTATTTATTGCACATATTTTGAAATATTGTGTAATTTTGTATCAGAAAACGTCAAAAGTAGTACTCTTGATAAGTTTGATGTAGGAGCCTTATATTTATTTAAGTTAGAAGCTTGGTGGTGTTTGTTTCCTGTGTATTACCTATGATGTACATAACTATTCTAACATACTCTGTTGCTCAGTGGTTCTACATTATTAACTATTAGAGCATTAGTTCTTCTTACCAACGTTCATGGGTTCTCATATACCATAGTCTTGTGTCAATGTTGAAATTAGGCTTCTCAGTGGCCGTGCTCAATTGCTGCAAGTGCACCTACTACCATCTTGTCATGGTATATATTGCCATCTTGTGATGCTGTGATATATTGTCATCTTGTTTTTCTCTGATAAACTGCTATCTTGTTATGTTATGACATATTGTCATGCTGTAATATACTGCCATATTGTTGTATTGTGACATACTGCCATCCTGTGATTCTATGATATTCTGCCATCTTGTCATGTTATGATATATTGCCATCTTGCCATTTTATGATATACTGCCATCTTGTCATGCTATGTTTTACTGCCATCTTGTTATATTATGATTTACTGCCATCTTGTTATGCTATGATATACTGCCATCTTGTTATGCTATGATATACTGCCATCTTGTTATGCTATGATATATTGCCATTTTGTAATGCTGTGATAAACTGCCATTTTGTCATACTAGATTCATGACTGTCCATAATCAAGTATCCTATCTTTTCTATTACCCTCTCCTTTTTATTTCAGTTTCACCAGTTGTCACTATATATATGAAAGGTTTTACCAGTTGTGACTATCTTCCAAATGTCACAAACTTTGAATGTCTACCTCTATTATAAATAGCAATGGAGATGTTTGACATAAATCGAAAGGAGGATGGCCATAACAATGCAAAGATTAAACAGCACTAATGAAAAGTCTATGGTTGAGCACCAGCAAGGAAGTTAAAATTAAATTTGTGAGAGCATGAATCGTTTCTGTAGCAACATATGGATGTGAGTGGTGGGCTGTCTTTCAGTCCTTAAGAAAGAGAATAGAGGCTTTTGAGCTGAAATGCCTAGAGAGATTCTCAAAATACCATGGACACAGAAGAGAAGAAATACTCTGATTTTAAAAGATCAAGGAAGACTGTCTAATAAACAGCATCTTGTTTTGGATGCTGAAATATTTTGGTCATATCAAGCGCCATGACCAATTGGAAAAAGTAA